TTTTTAAATTTCTTATTAATTTGCTCTCATGCATTATCCTGTTGTGGTAAATGGGAAATAGGAACATAATAATACATGTAATCATAGAATCCCAAGCGTGTTTAAAAGCAAATCAACGATAATATCTTGGTTTTGCAATATTCAGAGAGTTTTAAACACATAACTAAACACACGTACCAGGGCTCCCCTTTTCAGGCCAACTTAAGAGGTTCCTTCACACTTTGGTTTACTATTTTAAGGGGTATTTAACCCTTGTTTTAGAAACTTAAAGGGTAAAATTCAATATCTCACAATATAATTTTTGCCTGCAAACACTTAATTCACACACACTTTGACACACATTAGCACAGACACACATAGAGTAACCATGACTATGATTGAATGCTATCGATTTTAATTAATAAATGAGTAATTTTGACCAAAATAAGAGGTGTCCATTTGGAGGGAGGAAGAGTGGTGGTGGTTGAGCACTTGGGTCTGTCAAAAATAAAATTAAGTTGACAAACCAAAAGGGGTCAACTCCAACTATACTACTCCAAGAAAAATAGACCTGCCACTCTATGAAATCTAAAAGTCAGGATCTCAGTGGGGGAAAAAATTGGGACTTGCTGAAAAAAATCAGGATCAACGACAAATCACCTCGGTCACTGCCAAGCTGACTGTAAAAAACTCCAGGGGTGTCCATTACTATATCCATATATTCCCTCTGAGCGCGTGCGAGTGTGTGGTGTGTGTGTGCGAGTGTTTTATCTTTTTTTTTTTATCCTGAAGTATCATGTCAAAGTCTCACTCCTAGTCCAAGTGTTTTAAACGCCCCCTCCCCCCCCCCCCTCGGATAAGTCCCAAAAGACACTTCAACGAAGTCATGTCACGTGGTGCAAACGCACAATTGAAACAGTTTTACTGACGGGTTTTGATGACAGGCCCGACTAACCAAAACTCGGACAAAACATGTTTCGGCGAAAGTAGATCTTGAGAATGTTTTAAGTCGGAATGCCAAATCAATACTACTTCCAATCCATTATAGTGTGTGAGCAAAGATCCAAGACAACTTTTGGTGGGTCAACTACTAAATACGACATAGACATCTAGGAAAATAGTACTCCGAGTTTCTGGTAACAAAACGTTAAACGAGTGCTTCCCACGACAGAAAAGAAAGCAAGAGTAAGATTTTAGAAAAATCAGGGGTAACAGGCGGAACAAAAAATTAAACCAAAAAAACCAGGGTACACGCGATCAAAATCGGGAAAATCAGGATGCTTGAGATTTAGGGCAGGGATGAGTGGCAGGTTGGGAAAATGAAATGATTCATTATTCTTCAGAGCCATCCCAGAGTTCACATTCCCATCTTTCCACACTTTCGATGACGGACAATTCATGTTTACAAGTGTTAAAGAAGGATGGGGTAAACCCAAGGCACAACACCGGCAAATGTGAGCGACCAGAATGAGGGGGGAGATTCTGTGCTGAAGCAAGCCTGTGTTGCCGGAAACTGCGCAGCTGATAAGTAGGTCGACTAGTCGACTTCTGATACAGAAGGTGACTGTCGTGCATGTGTGTGGGTGTGTCGTCAAATCATTGACTCGGCTTCGGGATAGAGAGGGGGGGAAATGATGCTTTCCAGACGCACACCACCCATGTTTTAAAGCGTTACATGCAAACCCCCGAACTGAAACTATAAAGAGTAAAACTCACACACAACCAAAACTTAAAGGGGGTAATCTGCAGGTATAATGCGCACATTTGTGCGTAAAGAATGTGCGTAAAGGTAGCCCTGCGCACACAAGCATACACGCACAAACACAAATATATACACTCATACTCACATATAACGAAATATGTTATACACAACAAACAAACTGCGTCTGTGGTGTTGCGGTTAGGCACTTCGCTGTCTCATGTACAAGACCCGTGTTCGATTCCAGAGTAAGCAAGAATTTTTATCAAGTATTATTCGTTCTTTCCGCTTAGACATTGTACCACTCTCAGCCAGAGTTAGCCCTGACAGAGGCAAGCAAGCAGGAGTTAGAGAAGAATAAAATATGCGTGTGTGTGTGTGTGAGAGAGAGAGAGAGAGAGAGAGAGAGAGAGAGAGAGAGAGAGAGAGAAGGGAGGGGGGGGGAGGAGAGAGAGATGGAAAGAGCTGGCGAAAGGAAGGCGCATCTAATCTAAGCCTTGATGTCACGTAGATCAACGTCTAAGAAAAGCTTCTGATCTATTGACCGGCACGACGTCTGAGAATAGCCACTTGCTTTTTTTAAAAGGAAAAATCTACTATGATTATAGACCAAATTTATGAGAAAACTACACAATACAAGTAAATAAACTTCTTGAAATGGAGCTCACATGTAGTCCCAACTCTTCTTTCTTCTTTTTTCAATGAGTTTGTTCACTCAGATTTGAGTAGAATCACCAACTACACGTAGGCCTATTACTATTACTAACTAGCCTAGAATGTATACAATTCTTTGATCCAGTGTACTTAGAAATAGTATTACAGCTTTTTGTACTTATGAATAAGATTTTGAAAATGCTTACAACTACTTTTGGGAAAAGGCGTGGTTAGGTCTACCAGTAGCCTACATGTGTATACATTTTTCCCATCAAAATGATGATGATTTGGCAGGAAAAGCTGGGTAAAAGTTTGGCCTTTTTTCAATTGGTTTGGCCTTAATTGGCCTTTTTTTGCAACGGATTCGGCAGTATTTTTTTACTTTCCCTCCCGTCTCACACTTGGCTACAAGTTGTCCATTTTCTACGAAATATTGATGCGCTGAACACAAAATCAACTTCATTTCCATCGCAAATTAATAGGTTTTTTAAATATTTGATAGTTCTTAACCCTGGAAGCGCGCAGGCCCTATATAAAGGGCGTGAGCCGGGCTACCCAGGAAGCACGCACGCCACATATAGGGCTGACCTACTTCGACCGGGAAACGCGCAGGCCTTATATAAAGGGCATAGACGCTGACCTTTTTCAATGGAAAATTCCAGTATTCCTTATGGAAAATGACGTAGTCAATTACAGCTCAAAGTTATAAATAGTGACCAATGACTTTGCAAGTTATCTTGACCTCGTAGAGCGTCTCTTGGCCGAGATATCGATCGATAAAGTGACGCGGTCCCGTTGAGCGACTACAAGCTACGTGTTATCACTTGTTCCACCATGCTGATGTACTAATTGTTAAGTCTATCGCGTTCTCGGCTTTGTTTGTATTTATTTGATCGCTGATCATTTTTAAATGGCTCATTCTATCTGCTTCAAGAAAATATATGCTTTTATATGCTTTTTATAATCTGTTGAGCCGTAAATGGTCATTTTTCAGTAGCAGGTATACATTTCGGGTATCTCAGCTGAATCCCCCCACCCCCATGTTTACAGTTTACAACTGATCGGACATGGCGGCGGGGCATTTTTGGCAGGTTACTTCCGGTGAAACGCTGAGCGCTTCTAGGGTTATAGAGATAGATGTGCTTTGGACCAATCCGGGGTTTCCAGGGGGCCTGCCCCACTGGGGTAACAAAATAAAATCTGGGGAGTTATAGGGGGGCATTTAACCCATTTGATATTTTAGTTAGATTTGAAATTTTCTTGAAAATAATTGATTTGCAACAGTTTTAGTGGCTTATAGAGATCTATACGTGTGATCTGCAGCAAACAGTACTGCAGTTTGACCCCCGAAGCAGTGCATCTGTGTGCGGGAGAGACGGCAAAAATTTACTGATTTGGCCTTTTCCTTTCAGAGTCATCTGGCGACCCAGCACACACACGTACACTAGGGCCGAGGTCTTGATCAAAACTTTTTTTTAGCTTGCTCTAACTTCGTCGCACCCACTGCCACCCATCACCAACGTTGACGACTCCTCGTCGAAGGGAAGGGCAGGGGAGGCTGATCTTGATCAAGGCTAGGCAAGGTAGCCTAGGCCTAGATCTAGATTCTAGATCTAACCGAGAGTCGAGAGTCACGAGCGACTGGAAGATGAGGGTCACAGCGTCGACCTTGGGCTTGAAGTCGTCAAGTCGACCTGTAAAGTCGATTTTGCCCAGATATCTATCTAGATCTAGAATCTACTGCAGTTTGACCCCAGATTGCAGAGCAGTGCATAGACTAGAGTAGATCTAGAATAGGCCTAGATCTAGATCTAGAGATCTAGATCTAGATCTAGATATAGAAAGTGGCTATTCTCACCCGCCCGGAAGTTTTCGCAAGATCAACTCCTCCCCTCTTCTCTCTCTCTCTGTCTCTTTCTGAATACTGTCTATCGGTGTGGACGATCAAATTGACCAAAACAAAGTTAAAAAATTATGTTAAAACACAAAAGTAAATTAATTTGGTTGTCTACAAAGATGCTACGGCTATTTAACTTTTCGAATCGAGCCGAACTACGCGGGTCGCCATTTTGTTTTGCCCGGAAATTCTCGTGCTACTCCTCTCTCTCTTTCTCTCTCTCTCTCCACTGAGACAAAATTGTACGCTTTTAGTAGGCTACAGTAGTAATGGAACGTTTGTTCACGGCACAGAATTCTACAATTTTTCTGGGGGGGGGTTCAGGGGGGCTCCCCACTGATCTGAGATTCTCCATTGAGAGATTAAAAACTGGGGAAATTCATGAATTCCTAAAAGGTTGAGACATGATATTGATATAATATAAGTGCAAAGTCGGTCCGCTGGTGCAGTATTCTTCAATCTTACCCTTCCAAATATGAGTAGCAAAGTCATGTTGTCATACCCCTGAATGAAAAAAATAATACAATATACATGTTTTTAAACAATCTTCAAAACCAAAACAAAACAAGACTAATATGGTTTGACCATCGGTGTTCGGTTCCCGCCACCAGCTGGACTCGACGGTTGGAATGTTGACCTCTTCTCCAAACACTTCCACCTGTTGCTCTCTAAAATACCATTACCGTCACATTTCGTTACAAACATTACTCTGCTTTAGACTAAACGATAACACTGCACATTATGCATGCACTTATGATCTGACATACTCACTGAAACTCAACTGCAATACAAGAATGATCTCACCGCCACCCGTCAAGATAGTTGAGGTAGCGTAGCCCAACTTATGTTCTGAGTTCTGAGTGAGTTCTGTGAGAGAGAGGAAGTCGTGTGCAGTTGGCCTAGGCCTATAGAGTATAGAGCGCAGAGACTGCTCAAAACCAGCAAGCCAGCAGGGCTTGCGACACTTTGCCAGATTGGCTAGGGGGTGACCATCAAGGAGTTTAGAACTACTTACTTTTAATCTCCTTGGTGACCATTGAAGTTACCAATAAAAACCTGATCAAACGTTCAATCCTCAATCGAAAAGGGCTAAAACTAAAAGTAGATCAAACAATCTCGAGCTCGGTACATATCACAAGTAGGCCTAGCAGATTTGGATAAAATAAGACGTTTATAGGCCTACCAGCGAGCATTCATTTTCATTATAATTTCAACCAAATTAATGGCTCAAACAAAAATTACTTGTAAGTACTTGTAGGCCTCCTTTTTTCAGAATGCATGTCGATAGTCTAACGATCTATGATGGGTCCTTTTAAGTAAGTTTTTAAAGACAAAAAAATAATAATAATAATAAGGGCGCGTAGTTATTTGATATCACTGTGGTGAACAATTTTTCCAGTTCACAAACTTTTAAAAAATCTTATTTAACGGTGCATTTTTTTTAACCCTTTATGCTTTCGACAGGAGTACACTGGTGTCCTAACGGATGCAAAACCCGTTTTCCACACAGTCTTCGTCCTACCTCAAAATGTTATGTAATAAATATGTCGATGTAAATGTGGCAATATCGATAAATGCAAACTTTTTAATTTTAATGGTAGGCTACGTCGTAAAACATCATTAAGATTTTCAGATGCCATTATATAGGCCTGTATTATGTTTCTCGTAGTGACACGGTCCTTTCAGAAACGCTCAAAAAAAAGAAAACATGGACAATTTTTAAAAGCGAAAAAGTTGTGGACAAAGAATGTGGCACAATATGGGGAAACCAAGGAGTTTATAACTCTTTGGGGGAAACACACTTTAATTACGTCACTTCTCTCTCTCTCTCTCTCTCTCTCTCTATATATATATATATATATATATATATATATATATATATATATATATATATATATATATATATACATGTATATATATATATATATATATATATATCCCCACCCAATGGCGTGGCTCTCCAAGCGCAAATGGCGCCATGGCGCCACCCTTTGAAAAGGAGAAGGGATTTTCAAAAAAGGGAATACGATTTTCCAAAATTTAACAAAATATCACAACATTTTTTTCAAACAAATCTCTTATTCAGTGTTCATCCCTACGTACGCCAATCTTTAGTTAAGGTGTCTATAATTAGGCTAGTGGGAGGAGGGCGGGTAAGCCTCCCGTTGCCGGTCGCAAAGGTCTCCCCGCGTCTTTCGTTCCCTACGTCTGACGTCACGGAGGGCGCCGAGCCCAGATCGGCGCTACCTGAACCAGTGTCCCTGCCTGAACCCATCTAGGTGTTCATTGTTTATGTGTGAAGTCTGGTCAAAATAATTCAAAATGATCTATAAACTATTTGATTCAATCAGTTGAAAACAGAGTTTTCTTTCCAAAAATAGCAAAAAAAGTTTCTTTCATACCCCATCCAGACGTTTGACGGAAGACACAAGAGATATCACCAAGAACATAACACAGCCAAAAACGCTACAACAGGTACTCCCATCACACTAAGAGATTGTACTGTTGGGTCCACAGAATTCTACACTTATGTGTAGAATTCTGTGGTTGGTCCAAAGGGCCAAGATGGATTTGGCGCCTGTATGGTAGGGAGGAGATGGAGTGGTAGTTACCCTGGACATGGCATGGTCAATGAGCATGGTTGCGAACTGTCTAAAAATAGGTTTTATTGTCGGCTTTCTAGAAACCAGAACTGCAAGTGAATCAGGGAATGGGGTCATTATGTCAAGACGCCCCGAGGGCAATAGTGCATGCGCATTCTTGACTGTGAATGTGTGCTTTTCTGCTTTTCTGTTGATCTGAGGGAAGTTATTGTTTTGAGCGTGATTATGATGTGATGGGATTGTGCGCATCTTAGGCGCCGAACTTGGTTCTTTATCATCAGATCTCTCTCTATATGTAAACGATTGTACCGGCACATATCTATTCTTCTCGTATGGAAGTAGGTGTCCCTGTATCCGCCCGTCTAAGCGCAACATCGCTGGAGCAGGCCTTTGACGTTGTCAATAAAGCGAGCATTGCTGCATACTAAATTTTCAGAGGGGGGGGGGGGGGGGGGGGGGCTGCTTGAAAGAAATTGCATTACCTCTATTGACATCTTTGCTTCTTTGCTTTTTGTTTGTGTATTCACATCAAAAGCTAAATTTAGTGTTGTAACAAATACTTTGATACTTCCCCGATTATAATATGTTGGTGGTTGAATTCGGGATTTGTTTTCATTCACAACTCAGTGATGCTGCTTCGAGTGGAGTAAGAAATTTTGTTTATTATGTGTGACATTTCTTTCTGGTTCCTTGTCTCGCTTTGATCACCCTGTCAAACAAGTCAGCCTTCGCCCCTGCACACACAAGCATGATCCCTCCTGTCGAAATCCCTAGCAGTATGATATGGTGATGCCAAGGAGTTTATACAGTATCCTTGGGTGATGCCTAGACGCTCAGAGTAAAGAGCGTATGGTGATGTCGTTAATACGTCGGACGGTGAGAACATTGGCAGCGTCAGTGCTGAGCTTTGACTACAGCTTTTTCTTTGAAGTGAGCCGATGCTCAACTGCAGGGCAGTATTGTTACGCATAATCATCATAATATATTGACCGAGATCCCCCCCCCCCACTATCCAGTAGACTCTTGAACTTGAAGGAAGATGGCTCTTGGCGAGAGGGTGTAAACTGGGCTCTACAATTCAGCAAAGTGTATTTTTGGCCCAAGAAAGAGATAACAAGAGGGAAGCACATACATACAATTCCATAAGCCCTTCAGGCCAGTCTCGGTGTTTATGCTGTTTTTGGATAGTACCCAAAAAAAGAAATTTTTCAGACATTTACACATGTAATTGCAACAAATGTTGCTGTTTGGTGTTAGAGAAAAATGTTGCTGAAAGGGTTATTTTATATATATTATAGGAAAAATCCTTACACGGGCCGAGGTTGCAGTAAGGCGTATTGCTCTTTTTTTTATCTAGGTTACTAGTTTAAGTGGACAGAACTGAAGAACTAATTAAGTCATACCTTGTCACACCTTTTCCTCAGTGTTGGGAACATGTCCATCTCTGCTCCCCCCCCCCCCCCCCCCCCCAATCTCAGAGTGTGCCTGCTTACAGTCTCCATCATAATCTGGTTGGAGATCCGCTGGACTGGTCCCCAAATGTGGCTATGTTTTCCTTTCTCCTCTTTGGATCCCCTTCTCCTTCAATCTACCTTGGGTGTGGGAACCGCTCTCTGCCCCATTCTTCCTCAAAAGCTGCACTGCTATACCTGATTGTAGCCTTCCAGTTCGCATACAGCATCCCTTTCTGTACCTTCTGTAGTGTGCCCGTAGAGTCAGAAATAAGTACTGCTCGCTCATGGCGTGTGTTCTTGATCCAGTGTAGAGCCTCATTTATGGCCTTTATCTCCATACACATACTAGATGTTGTCAGTGCTGTTCCTCCGCTTTGTTCTTTCACGACTATCCCATCAACTCTGACACTGAAGGCCCTGCCCGATTTGACTCCTCTGTTGACTGATCCATCCGTGAAGATCCCAGCTTCTCCATGTTCGCTATGCTCTTCTATCAGGGTCTCAATTTCAGCGTTTATATCTCCAAGTAGTCCAAGTGGCCAGTTGCGACATTCGCTACCTAATGTTGCCTTCACCGTTGTGTGCTCTCCGAGCGCATCTTCGACCACGACCCAATCCTTGCTTCTCCTGATGCTTGCTTTGTATCGGGCAGCACTCGCCATTAGTGTTCGTGGCCTGAGCCATCCATTCTGTGCCCCTCTTTAGCCTTGATGTCATCTGTCGTCCCACTTTCTTATGTAAGGGGTTCGTCTCATCTGAGCTGACTCGTAAAAAGGCTTGGACTTGTGCCAGTTTAAGTGCCTCTCGTCTACACAAGGGAAGTCTAGGAGGTATCTCATTGTTTCAGCTGAGGGGTCTCGTGTGCACCCCAGGATTGCCCTAATTCCTTCATTTTGTAACACCTCGCGTCGTTACTGTTGCGCCTTTTTTTAGGATCCAAAGTCTGAGCCCGTACTCTACGACAGAGAGTACCGTCTGGTAGAGGAAGACAAGGATTTTGTGGCTCATCTTAGCTCTGGCCATCATCTTAAGGGCTGTTAGACCTATTGCCGCCCTGGAGATTGTTTTCGAGATGTGATCTTTGCCAGAGAGGGTGCGATCAAACGTGATGCCAGAGTACTTCAATGTGTGTTCCCTCTTCAACACTTTGCCTCCAATCGAGATACTTGGCATGTCATCGTGCACTTAAAGTTATTCAGTGTACACCACAGTTCGTCGGTTTTGTCTGGGTGCAGTTTCTCGTTGTTTGATTCACACCACTGTTCGAGTCTGTCGAGTTCTTCCTGTACTCTCTCTGCTGTAACCTGGCGGTTTTTCCTTGCCTGTACACCAGCACATCATCAGCGAAACTGAGTACACGTATAACATATGACACGAACACTCTGTTCTAAGATACATCTTTATCTACATGCATTATTTTAACACAGTTCATATAAACATTTTACTCTTCACTGTGTCAAAATGGCTCCTAAAGCCGTATAATAATAAGTAAATTTATGATGTTAAGTCCAGGTTTTGCGTAGTATTTGTGACTGCTCTGTTTTCCAATCTGTTTGAAACTATCATAATTTATTTTGTTTATTGCAGAGACAATTTTCTCCATTCATTTGATATGCAATGTATGTCCATTCTATCAATGTTTTTTGAGTTCACACAATTTTGTCAAATCTGACATTTTAAAGTCAATTCTAAGTGCCCGTATCTCGAGCGACTCCTAATATAGATGAAATAATATTATTGTGTCAGATGAAGCAGAATTTATTTAGCCTCAAATTGCTATGCTACAGAACGGGTACCGCTTGGCTTCAACTCAATGATTGACGGATTACTTTTTCAAGTTTCATTTGGACCCCTCTATACGGTATACCACAATTACTGGAAGGTTCAGAAAAAGACAAAGTTTGGTCACCACAGCGTTGAGGCTTGTTGTTTAGTTGGATATAGTGTTATCGTATTCTGCTCAAGAAAATACCACAGTGAGCCAAATCTCAAAATTATTAATTTAATTCGATTAAGTTCATGGAGGAGCAAAGTATACTCCTGCCGTGATACTGCGTGTTGTAAGAGGCGACTAAAGGTGCAAAGGTCTAGTTGTCCGAAAAGTTCCAGGATCGGGTAGACCCAGTAAAAAACAGTTACAGAAACACGGACAATCACAGCTTTTTATTTGTCGATCTTGGGAGACAGGGGAGCTTCTGCATCAGCAGGAACAATGAAGGACAGCGGACAAAGCCGAAAGGACTCTCCTGATCCGAAACCTTCTGTCGAACAAGCCTCTCCGGATTGCGTCGTTGAATGTTTGCGCCTTGTACGAAGCAGAAATGGGTTCTCAAGTAGTACAAGGGATGAAGAGATAGAGGCTGCACATACTAGGAGTCAGTGAAACACACTTGATATAGTCTGGACAGAGCAGCTCAGCTCGGAGGAACAAGTATTGTATACTGGGAGGGAAAACAAGCACCATGCGGAGGGAGTGGGAATCATTTTGAGTAAGTACAGGTATGCACAGAAGTCACTTAGAGGATGGGAACCACACGTAGAGAGGATCATCTTGGCTTCATTCACTACAAGGAGCAAGAGCATCAACATGAATAAATTCCAGATCTACGCCCCAACAAATGATACTTCAGATGAAGACAAGGGTGCCTTTTACAGCCAGCTCCAGAGGGGTCTACCAAGGAAGGATGTCAGCCTCATAATGGGAGATGCCAATGCCAAGATTGGCCAGGACAACATGGGGTATGAAGGAATTATGGGACAACACGGCTTGGGACAAATGAATGAGAACGTTGAGCGATTCGCGAATATACGTGTTTTCAACAGTTTTGTCATTGGAGGCTCTGTTTTTCCTCACAAGATGGTGTGACCTAGAACTAGATATATCATTTTTGTATATCTCGTAGGTTCAGGTGTTCACTGGAAGATGTCAAAGTACACAGAGGGGCAGATGTTGGGTCGGATCATCATCTGCTGTTGGCAAAACTCAAGCTCCGACTAAAAAAAGCGCGGAACCAGCACAGGAATCAAAAGAACGAAGTTCCAAGTCTCTTAGACGGGCGCAAGAAAGGGGAGATTCAGCTGCAGCCGAGGAACAGATTTCAACCTCTGTCTGATCTTGGTGGAGAGGACAAGGAGGTGGAAACAGACTGAGCCAAGGTCAAAGAAGTCTTTACATCAACATGTCAAGAAGAACTCGGTGCGAAAAAATGGGAGCACAAGGAGGATTAGCCAGCACTCATTGGATTTAATTTAGATAAGAAGACAACTGTGAAGGCAGAAGCGAATGCTAGTAGAATAAAAGGATCAAGAGAGGGTGCAATCTAGCAGTGCAGGACAACAGTTAAAAATGTCAAGAAACCATTAAGAAAAGACAAAGAGGAATTCATGAACAGGCTGGTAGAGAAAGTAGAGGAAGCATCGGCAGGAGGGCACATGCGAATCCTTTACCAGACCACAAAGACTCTTGCTGGAAAATAAAGGAAACCTGAAGTGCCAGTAAAGGACCAAGAGGGAGAAAACATTTTTGGGAAGGAAGCCCAGTCGAAACGATGGGTTTCAACAGTCTCCTGAACAGACCACCACCGAGTAACCCGCCAAACATCCTGCCAGCAAGAAATGAGTTACTAATCTGCTGTGATGCTCCTTCAAAACAAGGGATTTCGAATGCTTTTAAGAACGGTAAAGTGGCCGGTCCTGATCAGATGCCACCTGAAGTCCTAAAGGAAGGCGCCAAAGTGACAGCAGACCTCCTCCTCCCACTGTTTACCAGGATCTGGAATGAGAGCAAGTTCCCAAAGGATTGAAAAGAAGGACACCTCGTAAAGCTTTAAAAAAAAGGGGGGGGGGGTCTCAGCAGCTGTAGCAACTACAGAGGAATTACTATTCTCTCAATACCAGGTAAGGTCTTCAACAGAATCATGCTGGCGAGAATCAAGACAGCAACGGATCCAAGACTACGGGATGAACAGGCTGGTTTCCAGGAAAATTGCGCAACCACCGACCAGATTGCCACGTTGAGGATTATTGTGGAATAGTCCCTGGAGTGGAACTGCCAGTTGATCATCAACTTCCATGACTATGAGAAGGCCTTTGACAGTATACACCGAGCAAAACTATGGAAGATAATGAGACTCCACGGAATCCCACAGAAGTTGGTGGACCTCATCAAGAGCACGTACGAAGGGACAAGTTGCAGGGTTGTACATGATGGTCAGCTCATTGACAGCTTTGACATCAAGACTGGTATGAGACCAGGATGTTTACTATCACCTTTCCTCTTCATATTGGCAATCGACTTGCGGATAAAGGATACCACCAAGGACACAGACATCGTATACAGTGGACTCCATAGACATAGTTGGACTATCTGGATTTTGCAGACGACGTGACACTTCTGTCGCACACCCAGGAACAGATGCAAACCAAGGCTTCAGAATTAAACAGCCTATCGGAGTCTGTTGGATTGAGGATCCACCCCAGAAAGTCAAAGGTCCTCAGGACATATATGCACAACGAAAGAAGCAGGTCACAGTAGAAAGAATTACACTAGAAGACGTTGAATTCTTCTGCTATCTTGGGAGTATTCTTGACAGAGAGGGAGGAACAGGTGCTAAAATAAGTCCCGCATTGGAAAAGCACAGGCTGCTTTCATATCTTTGGATAGGATTTGGAAGACCAGGGATATCTCACTGCAAACAAAGCTGAGGATATTCAATTCAAATGCGAAGTCAGTTCTGTTGTATGGAAGTGAGACATGGAACGCATCACATACTTGCATAAAGAGGATCCAGGTTTTCTTGAACAAGTGTCTAGAAAGTTGCTGAGGATCAGGTTGACAGACAGGGTCACCAACGAGAAAGTGTTAATAAGGAAAACAAGACAAATCCTAGTCAGAGATGAGGTAGGAAAAGCGGTGGCGATGGATTGGACACACTCTCAGGAAGTCATGCAGCTGCATAACAAATAAAATTTTGGATAGGAATCCACATGGTAATATATCAAGGGGAAGACCGCATGGAACCGGGAGAAGAATCACAGAAATCGATGTACAGAAAAGAGGGAGGACATGCAATAACATCAAGAGGCTAGCCCAGGATAGAGAAAGGTGGAAAGTGTTTGTCCGTGGCCTATACCCCGATTCAGGGTGAGAAAGGCAATGATGACAACGGAGTTCACCTAAATCGAAATCCTTTGGACTGATAGATAAGTTTTTTCTTCTATTTAACCTGGTTTTCAGTTTAGAGAGGTTGTCTAAATGTGAGGCAGCGTGGTGGAATCAGGCTCTCGTCAAAATAATAAAAGTGAAGAAACTGGCATTTTCCTGCAGGTTTGTGAATTTTTATCAAATCTTTTTTTTGTTGAGACTCAACACCTTTCATGCCCATTAAATAACTCTTTTATGTGTGGGTTTTTCTTAAAAATGTTGATTAAAGGCACAAAAGGTGTAAATTTTCAGTTACCGAGGACTCTAAAGTTAAGGAAATAGCTAATCTTTGGCGTCCATTTTCTCACAAATTTTACCTCTGAAAACAGGTGACTACCTCCTTCATTCGCAAATATCTCGACTTGTATTCAAGATAAATGGATATTTTTTTCATCCAAATAAAGACAAGTGAACAAGCCTTAAGATGATACAAATAACTCTACATGCCCAAATATTGACGAGAGCCTGATTCCACCACGCTGCCTCACAAATAGAAGAAAAGGATTCAGGGATTTTGCTTTCTTTCGGTTCACCAGTTTTCAGTAAACAATGTTCTGTTTAAGAGGACTTCACTTCATGTCATTTATATAAATAGAGGAAAGAGGAGTTTCTACGGTTACCCCCGTGACATGTATCAAACTGACCATATGCATCTAAAGAAGCAGTAAATAGGATATTCCTACTGTCTACTTCACCACTTTGATCCTAGCTGCCACCAGGTGGCCCATCAAAGAATTGTAATAAACTACCTCAATCGTTATCCTCTCCCCCTTCTCCTTCTCTCTCTCTCTCTCTCTCTCTCTCTCTCTCTCTCTCTCTCTCTCTCTCTCTCTCTCTCTCTCTCTCTCTCTCTCTCTCTCTCTCTCTCTCCCCTCTCTCTCTGTGTTGGGGGGAGGATGTGTGTGTGTGTGTGTGTGTGTGTGTGTGTGTGTGTGTGTGTGTGTGTGTGTGTGTGTGTGTGTGTGTACTCGCGCGCGCGCGTGTGTTTGTGTGTCTATCTCATCTGTCCTCCTTTTTCTCTATTTGTAGCCTTTTCTCAGCCCCTGTCTCTTGTCTGTCGGTCTCTCTATCTGTCTGTCTGTCTCTCTATCTGTTTGTCTCTCTGTCTGTCTGCCTGTCTCCCTCTATCTATAAAAAAGTCACGTTTGTCAAACATTCTTCGATCCAGCCTAAGGGATATGCATTGAAAAGGAATAAACAAATTGAGAGTTTTTTTTCCTGATGCGAAAGCGACTTAGCCTTGTGTTACTAGTATTGCATTGCATAGATCTAGTAGGCCTATAGATATCTAGTAAGTTTAATAACTACCTTGTCCACTTTCATTCTAAACAATAGATCAAAGTGTAATAAGTCGAAATGTAATCGATTAGGATTTTTTTCATAAGTATGTTTAGAGGAGTACATCGATTTTATTTTAGACTTCGTCTCGAAAAAGTTTGTGTGAAAAGTGTAAACTGATCTCACATGGGCCAAAATATTAAATAATTAAAAGTTTTTTCACCGATATTCAGGATTAACAAGACTTTCGTTTTCGACATTACTATTTAAAACTGCTGTCACTGCCATCTATGACTCAACTGAAAGTTATTCTTTTCTACTTTAGCCCAGTTTTTCGGCCAGTGTTCACTATATAATATAACGGCGAACTGAGGTCTGCGGAGCACACAGAATTCTACACAGGCTGACACACAGTGAGTTTGAGCTTGTTCAATAGGGCATGACGCAGCAATTATTTATTACCTTATATGTTATCTGCTGTCCATGTCAAAGTATCGTAAAAAGTTAACTCTGGATCTTGATTCTACGTAGAATCCTAGGAAGGAGGTTCATCTGGGGGCAATCGAGGCACGCAAATAATGCACTATTTTAAACTGTTAAAGTTAATATCCGATGATTCTCCAATGCTGGGGGAATATTGACTACCAATGATATTCGTTTTTATATCTTAATTAGGCCTACATGTACTTACTTCGGTACAAGATCTACTTAAGAATCTGAGTCCCGCTTGGGGATATTTAGTTTTGATCCCACCGACGATTACTTCTGGTTCTAAATGATTACTTTTTGATGAGTGTGCCGATATGGAGAGATAGCCTATCAAACCTAGGCTAATTAGCTAATTGCAAAACATCAAATTATGTTCAAATTCAGGGGGGCATGCCCCCCCCCCCCCCCCCCCCCCCGTCTCCATGTTTTTATTTGCCCCCCTGAAACCCCCCCTTCCCTTGTTAATAACTAGTGAATTTTTAAGGCCACCTCTATTCTCACCCAGAGTGAGAATAGTGCAGGCGAGTCTTGTGGCTATTCTCACCCGGTGCGCGTTCACCAAATTTTGCGTTCAACCTAAACCACAGAATTCTACATTGTGATAACAGAAAAATTGTAGAATTCTGTGCCGTGAACAAACGTTCCATTACAACTGTAGCCTACTAAAAGCGTACAATTTTGTCTGTGGGCAGTGGAGAGAGAGAGAGAAAGAGAGAGAGGAGTAGCGCGAGAATTTCCGGGCAAAACAAAATGGCGACCCACGTAGTTCGGCTCGATTCGAAAAGTTAAATAGCCGTAGCATCTTTGTAGACAACCAAATTAATTTACTTTTGTGTTTTAAGTTAGTTTTAACATCATTTTTTAACTTTGTTTTGGTCAATTTGATTGTCCACACCGATAGACAGTATTCAGAAAGAGACAGAGAGAGAGAGAAGAGGGGAGGAGTTGATCTTGCGAGAACTTCCGGGCGGGTGAGAATAGCCACTTTCATTTTTAATGCTCATTTTGTAGGCTGGATCTAGACAAAGATAGTACTTAACAAGATGGTCCACTCAGCCAAAAAAGTGTCCGCCGGAAGTCCGCTCTTTGCTTCAGATGGCGCTGCAGTCTGTTTTGAAGCTCTCTTTCGTTTTTCCAGAAGAAGAATAGGAATAGCACCTCCCTGCGTGCGCAGATCGACTGCTGTTCATCAGCAGTTCGGGTTCGTTCAGTGCGGAGTTTTAGTTTTGTTTTATTTTAATAACCTCTCGCCTTTCATTCTAAAGTCAAATTAAACGAAGAAAACAATCATTCTTTAAAGAAAGCGTTCTTCCGAAATTTATTCAAAAACTTGCTAGTTTCACTTTGACTTTTTAAACTCAAGCAGGGTAACTGTTCGCAAAGGGTGCCCATTTGCGAAGAGGGCGCCACCGAATTTTGAGGACACTTTTTTAATTGGCTCAAAGAGAGGAGTGGCCCCTCTTGTTATGTGTAGCTTCTTTGATCTAGATCTACTGATAGAACATCGATACCGAATATTTTTGTCAGTATCGATATCCAGTACTCTGTGTGGATGATGCCTAGTCTAAACAGACGGGACCCAGATTCTTAAGTTGTACCCTTACTTCCACCAGGCGGTTCCAATTTCTATACTCTATACCCCCAACATGTTTTCCTCAGCTGGTGCACTTGCTGACTTGCAGAGTAGAGCAGACCTTTCTGTGTTGAACTTGAATTTGTCACTTTTGTGCCCTTCCACTCGTGCAGCTCTCTTTGCACTTGCAGTGTAGAACAGACTTTTGTCAAGCTTTGTGTGTTTGTGTGCACTTCCACTCATGGTGAGTTCAAGATACTCATGCATACTTGCATATACTAATACTGTGGAATGTGGAATCAGGCTTTCACTTTTTGGACATAGAGGCTACATGGGGAAGGACTTCCATTTATCATTTATAACGAGTGATCACCCCAACAAACTCAATGTAGATCTAGATCTACAGAAAAGACCTAACTGTCCTAACCCTAACCCTGACCCAACCCCTACCCCTACCCCTGCGCCTACCCCAAACCCAAACCTTACCCCAACCCCAAACCCTAACCCTAACCCTAACTCTCCATTCTACTCTGTGTCACAGATTTTTGGCCAAGAGACGCTCTACAAGGTCAAGATAACTTGCAAAGTTATTGGTCACTATTTATAACTTTGACTTTTACTTTACCACGTCATTTTCCATATAAGGAATGTTGAAATTTTCCATTGAAAAAAAGTCAGCGTCTATGCCCTTTATTGCAGCGCTTTTCCCAATCGATCTGTATAGGGCCTGCGCGCTTCCCGGGTAGCCCGGCCCACGCCTTTATAAAGGGCCTGCGCGCTTCCAGGGTTTAAGTTTGTCCACTTGTAGCATCCGATTTGATAGTTTATGTTCTGCCTACAAAGCCTAGCTTATTATGTGAAGTGGAGGGCCGTACGCATAGCCATTTGGATTTTCTTTTTAAGCTTGATCATTTGTTTTGCTTTTAATTAAGAAAAAATACCCATCCATCGTGAATTGGAGTTGGGAAGGACTTCCGTAACGAGTGACAAGCCCAACAAACACATTAAAGAAGAGACCTAGCCCTACCATTTCCCCTACCACTAAGAAACCCTCTATTCTATACTCTATGTCATAGTGGTCACTTGTTACGGAATTCCTCCCAAGAGTTGAGATACTTGCAATTTAAGGAGGAGGAGGTTGCCTGGTGTCATAGAGATCAGGTGAAATGAGGGAGAAATGGCCGCCAAAGTTTGACGACTTACGGAGCTTGTGTGGCTTTGTAAATTGCAAATTGACATATTTTTTTTGCTTTTAATCACCTTTGTCAGTAAAATCCATACAGAAATGTGTTTCTAAATGGACATGGGAAGGACTTCTGTACCAAGCGACCACCCCAAAAACACTATATACCCAAGGGCAATAGAAACTTTCCACTTTGTTTTTTTGTTGCTGTGCCCTAGTTCACATGAGTTAATGAGCGAAATTTCACACGTCACTTAAAATGCACCGAACGATGACTCAGCACTGATCTTTTTCTTGAACAAACATTTAACCATATGGTTACATCACCGACATGCAAATTAACATGTTTTGTGACTTAAGTGCTGCCAAAATCATGAAATGTCCAAATTATGTTTAGATCAACATATTTGTGATTTTAGAACCTAAAAAACCAGTTACATACACACTCAAGCTGGTTTCTGTTGACTTAAATTGCTGTACAAGATGCCAAGGTTAAGCCCTGAGGAGCGTTGTTGGGCAATCTGAATACCCCAAGCTGTGCTATCGGCTAGTAGAGTGTCATGGATGCCTCATTGCTTCCATCTTACTATTAATATCCTGAAGGATTGGGTCACTGGAGATACACCTGACCAGGCAGACCACAGGTCGATACTGCCAAAGAAGACAGACAGATACTGCTTTAGCATCTTGAAGACCGCTTTCTCACAACGACTAGCTCTGCATGTCAATTTCATACAGACACTGGAAGAGTTTTTTAAACAAAAGAAGGATACAACAGTGTTTACACGCATTTGGACATTGAACAAGGGGACCCTGTAATAATGATTAACGTTTGCCATCTTTCCAAAAATCACTCTTGAACTGACTGGGCAAATCGTCACATTTATCTGGGACAGAGTTCTCTTCTTTGAGAGTTTGGAGACGTTAAGGTGAGAGAGAGACTAGCAGACTAGCATGCATGAAATACCGGTGGGGCAATGGCAGTGTGATAATGTGGGTTTGACTGCGGAATCTAGCCGCAGATTTTCAATGCTGTGGTCGATGCCAACGAGTTCCAAAATGTTCCCTGGATGAACTTGGTTCCCTTCTTTCAAACCCATGGATGTATGCCCACATTCCAGCAGCACAATGCGGGCCCACACCTTGCCCATGTAATGGTGCAATATCTACAGCAGCAACATGTGAATGTGTTGCCATTGCCAGCCTACTTGCATTGTAGGCCAAAGAATGAGCTCCCAAAACGACATTAACATAGTACAACGACTGGGACAAGCATTGATTCAAGAGTGGAATGGACTGCCACAACAATTAATAATGATTTAAAAAATCTGACTCTATCAATGCGCAGAACATGCCAAGCTTGCATCATTGCAAGGGGCGACAAACTCACTACTGACGTTAAATTTTGAAATCAAAGGGTATTAGTTTCTGCTTAACACTGTGCCACCATATGAGACATAATCTAGAAACACAAGGTATTATACTTCTTAACATACTTTGAAATATATCTGTGTCAATTTTTGTTTTTATATAATGAATAATAAGTGCAATGTAGGATTCTCTCCAAGTGGAAAGTTTCTGTTGCCGTATTATATATATCTACAGTAGTCTCCGTCTAAGATCCCGGTGCTCGGGAGCAAGGAAATCATGAAATGCGGGATCTTAGGTGAACTGGGATCTTAACCAACGAACCCAGGGAAGACTCTATGGTGACCCATGTTAGGGCTCACAATCGGTAAAATAGCCTCCCTCCACTCTAAAATGAACTGACGTGACTCCTTGGTGGGTTTATGGCATACGGCGAGCAGAGACTGGTTAACCTCGATGACCTATTCACAGTGCATAGCGGCATGAGGCGTGCCATTTTCACTTATTATCCTATCATGAGTCTCAAGATCTACGCTCATCCAGTTGCCCCTCCCTTTTACCTGTCGAAAATTTATAGCTTTCCATCTCTGACCGAGTCCCCCCCACCACCTTTGTCGTTACACACCATTACGTTGTGAACACACCAATTAAAATTCAGTCTGTCTCGCAAATTTGGGAGTAGAGACAACTGTAGCAATGGTCGGGGAAGAGTTCACAGTTTGATGTGATCCCGCCTGGAGGGAACATGTAGGCCCTACCCACCCAGCGAGTGATGTAAGTTTAGGGGGAGAGCTCAGGTGTGAGTGCGATGCACGGGGAAAACAAACGTGTCGGTCAGTTCACACCTCGGTGTTATCCCGTCTGGGGCACACATTGCATCGCTTCATAGAGTTTTACAACGTGTATGTGATCACATTCACGATAGGAGCTGATCTTTGATGCGATGGACAGTTTATTGATTTCAACTTTTTACTCTTGGTTGATCGGCTGTGCCCGTCCGGGTTTTTGTTCCGCAAATTATGATCTGAAATTACGGGATCTTACCCGAATGTAGACCTTCAGAGTGAATCAGAACGGGGTCTTAGGGGTGACTTTTGTATAGTAAAATTTGTTTTCTTAAAACAGCGGGATCTTAAGTGAACCGGGATCGTAAGCGGTGGGATCTTAGGTGGAGACTACTGTATATATATAAATAAATAATAATAATAATGGATTGCATTTATAAAGTGCATATCCGTTTATGTTTTCGAGGCTGTTTGAGTTGTCAGCACTTATCGGGGTCTCATGGACCTCTTTTTTTATTATAGGTCAGAACCTTCTAAGTCAAGTTATACGAACAGGGGAACAGTTGCCTGGAAAAAATCAATGTCGGGGAGGGGGGGGGGGGAAATTTGTCTACATTTGGGGTGCAGCCTATGTGTAAACGACTGCCAGACGGGGGCAAATCCTCTTTTATTTTGTTCTGCATTGTACGTGTATTGAAGAATGAGAGCTTTTTGAAGTATATATTTTTACTTGGTCTTACAAGCCCGAGCATTTCAGAAACCTTTTAGGGATTCCCAAAAAAAATGTTTCCTAATTTGAAGGGAAAAATGAGAATCACAGCAGCTGACTGTGGCTCTCTGACATTATAGGTAGGGTCATGGTGCACCAAGCTGATGGATGGTATTTTAGTTTGCAGTGACATTTGTCTACACAGCTGTCGATTGTTTTGTTCGTTATTTGTGCTGAAATTTAACACTAATGGTTTTTATCAGCCGCCTTGCTATGTCATTACTTGGTTATGTTTCTGTCTCTGCTCAGGTCATGAATATCAAGGGGTATCTCAGAAACAAGCCTAAGAAACACTGCCAGTAATGTCTAAATAGAACCTCTCTGGTTTTCCTATTTTCGGTTTAAAAAGAAATTGCAATGTATTAAGTCTGCGAAATGTGAACTGCAATATAAGTAGGGAATACCGTACTATGATACCGTGAGAGCCACAACAAGCTTTAATTGGACAACTGTTAGTGTTAGTGATAAATGGTTGTCACTGTTACTTCCGCTATTGTTTCTACATGCCTCTACAATGTACCTACAGTAATGTCACCTAAGATCCTACGGTTTCTGTCCTCAGCGCACCTGATGTCCTATTATTAATTAACATGTTATATTGCTTGCGACATAAAAATTTAAATGTTTACATTTCCTCTAGTAAAATCTATATTGATTAAAGTCAAGCTGTCAACAGCCAACTGTTTATAAAGCCTCCATGATGTAAAAATAACCTTCTATGCATTTTTTCCAAATTAACAACCCCCACTTTGTTTTATGATCACATTTAGTCAGTACATGTCTATTTGTTATTCTGGTCCCATGCTGGTTGTTTGATGTTCATTGTTTCTGATTTCCAGTTATTTCTGTCTTTTACTGTGTTTTTTTTGGTTTGTTTCTCTTTTTCTGCTGACTTTTGTTTCTTCATTCCTACTGTGTTTTCCATTGAATCTAAATTGCTGTTATTGGCCATTTTTGGAAAGGTTTATATAAAAATTGTTCAAGTCAGTCTGGTGTTCATTATATGATTATGCAGATGAAAGTATATAAAAGTATGTTAATTTACCTTCAGAAACATAAAATATTCTACTTAATGTGTTTAATGTACAATTTAAAAAACTTTTTGTTTCTCTATACACTTACTTACAGGTGCAGTAGACTACGGCAGACATGGCAACGTCAATTAAAGAAGTGGACTTGTCCAACAAAAGGCTACAGGAGATTCTCAGTGTAGCAAATGACTGGGCACTTTGCAATGGTACAGTCTTGTGAAAGTTTTGATATGTAACAAGAATTTGCATTGGGATGGGTTAGATGCTCCCCTGTCTTCAGAACAGTATGAGTCTTAAATTTATGATGCTAATGAATTAATATGATAATAAATAGCATTTATTTATCACTTCTCTATTTTGTGAATGCTCTGTGTTTTGGCATCAGTTTGTAGTAAAATGTTCATTTGTAGTTACAGGGTGATAAAAAAAAACAACTTAACAACTTTTTTTCTGAATATCTCGACCAAAATTTGTTCTAGAATGCTGTGATTTGGAACATTCAAAAGGAATATTTAAATCCGCGAAGAAAAAACATTTTTTGAAAATAAAAACGACTAAAAGAAAAAAGCACACAAAAACTCAAAGTTCACCAATGTTGAAAAATCTTGTAAAGGAAGCCGTGAAAAGATTAGTTGATCTTTTTCTTTATTTTCTCTTTGACATTAATTTTCCATCCCTGTGACATTTAAACAATATTTAATTTCTTTTACAGAGTTTTAAAAATCTAATGACTTCATTCTGAAATTCCTAGAAGCAGTGCTCCACATTCCCTCCTTTGGACTCGACACATTTTTAACGCGTCTTTCGAAATGTTCTGTGGCGCCCTAACACAGGGACCTGCTAAACCATGAGTTTTTAAAGCCGCATACACTGTACATGTTCACTAAGAAGTGGCTTCTAGAGACAATAGATTGAGGTGCCCAATAGAAGGTATTTTTGGAGTTAACATATCCCGAAGGATGAAAATGGACTCTGCACTAAACCAAATGTCATTGAGGAAATGATCCCTCTTTACTAGGTATCGAGGAATCATGAACACATTGCCATGCTCTGATTCATGTCATCTCGGCCTAGTGAAGATGAGCATGGTATAGCCGTAGGTTAAGATCTGCCATGAGAATGCAGAATGTTGATGTGTAGGAAAGTCCTAGCTGCAGACTGTCTACGCACAGACGTCTCATGGGACTCGGCTACTGAAATCTGCACTCTGGTGATGTTTAAAGGGCTGCGCATGGTGCGTGTTCGACCTGAAGTGGTCATTTTTAAAAAAACTTTTTAGTTCTGATTCACTATAGATCCAAACTGATGGAACTTCTCTTCTCATGATGCCAAAGGTCTTGAGAGCACCTAAGCATTCTCTCCATGCCGTACGCAGAACTTACGAAATGTCAGGGATGGTGAGTTTGTGGAGAGATAATGTTCAATACAAAATACTCTCTGCTCTTTACTAAACGGAGCCATGATCTCAGCAGGCAAACAAAATTTGGGAAAAATAATATCTGCAGACTTCTGTAGACTTTTTAGACTGCTGTAGCTTGCAGTATGACGCGATTGTTGCAACTTTTAGTGGTAGGCCTAAAGCGAACTTGTGCGTCATGCTATGAAAATGGCGACAAGGTTGAAAATTGGTTGTTTTTTTAATGCGCTATATAGAGCAAAACCATTCAATGGACCTATCTGAAATGCATATCAGACAAATTCCTTTTGGCTTCCATATGTTATGTTCAAATCTGAAACGCAAAACTTCAGTATGGAGGAAGATATTTACAAAACAAGTTGTAAAGTTTTTTTTGGATCACCCTGTACTTTATTTATTTCCTGGAACTTGCAATGGTCTTCGAATAATGATTGCTGTATTCCCTTGAACATTGCAGGAGTGGCATTCCAGAATCTCCCGCGATATGGAAAATTAGTGAAGTGAAAATTATAAATTTATTATGTATTTTATGCATAAGTACCCCCCCATCCCCCTTCACCAGTATTTTAAACCTCTCCTATGCTCTTATAAATACTTTCTACTCTTTGTGATTGAGAGACCTAAAGTGTTTTTAAAAATATAACATTTATATCTATTTATTTGTTAACAGTGTTACCAAAGTTTAAAATGTTGTATGGGTACTCACCAGCAAAGAGTCTGAAACTTAATGGTGATGATGGGATGATGTTAAAAACTGTGGTAGTATCAGTTCCATGAAACGTAAATTGTTATATGGTGAAGTAATAGAGTAGTCTCCCCGTAAGATCCCACTGCTTACAATCCCGGTTCGCTTAAGATCCCGCTGTTTTTAGAAAACATTATTTTTACTATACAAAAGTCACCCCTAAGATCCCCCTCTGATTCCCCCTCACGGTTTACATTTGGCTAGGATCCCAAGTTTCAGATAATAATTTACAGAGCAAAAACCCGGGCGGGCACAGGCGATCAACCAAGAGTGAAAAGTTGAGATCATTGAACTGCCCGTTGCGGCAAAGATCAATCACTCTCGTGAATGTGGTCACATAAACATTGTAAAACTCGATGAAACGGAACAATGTTTGCTCCAGACAGGATCACACCGAGGTGTGAACTGACCAACACATTTGCTTTCCCCAAACATCACACTCGCATCTGAGCTTGCCATCTAAACTTACATCACTCGCTGGGTAGGTAGGGCCTACAAATTTGCTTCAGGCGGGATCATATCGAACTGTTAACTCTTCCCTGACCATTGCAACAGTTGTCTCTACTCTGGAATATGCAAGATGGACTAAATTTTAATTGGTGTGGTCACAACATTATAACTTTCCATCTTTGACTGAATTCATGATAGGTAACGACAAAGGTGGGGGAATTTAGTCAACAATGGAAAGCTATAAATTAATAATTTTGGACAGGTAAAGTGGAGGGGTAACTGGATAAGCGTAGATCTTGAGACTCACAATAGAAAAATAAGTGAAAATGGCATGCCTCGTGCTACTGTGCTTGGTCATCAAGGCTGACCACTCTTTGCTCACCATTTGTCATAAACCCACTTAGGGGTCACGTCGGTTCATTTTAGAGTGAAGAGAGAACATTTATGGGTCACCATACTTTCTTCCCTTGGTGTGCCGGCTGAAATACCGTTCGCCTAAGATCTCGCATTTTCCTTGCTTCCGAGCAACGGGATCTTAGGTGGAGACTACTGCTTTTTAGATTCTAAGATTTTCGAGAAGTCAGTATGTACTGTTCTAAGTCTTTAAAAAGAAATTGTTTAGTTCTTCTAACTAAGAGTAAGTTGGTGTATGAACCTATAAAACTCCCATTTCTTGTATTTATCTATTTATCTGAAGCTACAAGATCTTCATTAATTTTGTTTTGTTTTCTTCAGGGATCAGTATAAGGTCTGGTGCAGATGGAGTTGAAGCTGAAAAAGCCGTCCCAGCTCCCTACGCTCTGTTTCCTAGTGTTGTTCCGGCTCCTGTCTTAGAGCAGGCTAAATCTACCATGACTCACTTCAGCCGACTCATGCATAAAGTCTCTATGGACCATGAGTTTTTAGAACAGTCTTTGAAAAAGTGAGTAGTGGAGTGGGTATAGCTTATTGGTTGTGCACATTAATAATTGGTAATATTTTGTGTTTCATGGCCATTGGTAAGTTTTATAAGAGACTGAACCTCTGAATGTAATGTCTGTCTCTGATAGAATGATCACAGTGGAACACTTTGAGAATTCCTCAAATAATCCAAAGTTTAAGAACGACACATTGTAGATTCAAACAAGGACCATCCGCACCATAGCCGAGTGTGATACCAAATGAGGTTGCAGCATGTCCTGTCTTCAAGTAAGGTACCTGCAGATACACTATCTGGATCAAAGCAAAGTACTATAAATTGTTGAGAGCAATGTTCAAGAGTAACATCTGCTTTTGTATGTGTGATAGATTTTCTTCCATGTAGCTGTGGTTATGAAAGAAAATGGTTGCTCTTTAGTGTTTTATTAGAAACAAGGTTTTTTTAGTAAGCCTTGCATTTTGATTTGCTTGAGTAATTTCTTTATAGAAGTTTGCTGTAACATTTGTAAAATTTGATCAATTCTCTTTTATGCATTGATGTTTTGAGATTTTTATCCAAATTCTTGCAAGGATTCTATTCCTGTTCAGTGAAGCATGGACTTGTGTTGTAAATACAATGCTAGCTTTCATGAAAAATTTTTAACCTTTCTACATCGAATTGAACAGCTTGAACAACAAAGATATGCATTAGCAGTACAGTGTCATCAGTGCTGCTCATTTTCTAATTGAAAAATCCTTATTTTTCCCTTGTGGCAACTCCATAATACGCTCGTATATTCAAGCTGGTGGACAACTTTTTTTATTCACATAGGAATGAAAATGTAAGGGTATGTTGTTGTTGTTGCTGTTATCAATCCAGCAACAGCTGGGTTCTCGCCCTTCTGTCCAATGCCTTGTAGTGATAAGTGCAGGGTTTGCTGCAGTTGCTGTAATATTTCATAGAGTGTGTTATCAATGTCAGGTCTCAGAGGGAGAAGTGTAGCTCTGATGCCATTTAACCCTTTGAGCCCTAACTCTGCTGACCCTAGAATATCCCCTGCCTGGCCTCGTCGGCCATTTTCAGTATACAGTCCAACCTGTGTAAGACGGAATTGCAAGGGAGCCAGAAAAAAATTCCGTCTTAGACAGGGGAATTTAGAGGGAGATGGAGGTTGGGGGGAGGGGGGGGTTCAAAGGCCCAGCCGGTGGAGTCAAGGATTGCTGGTCTGATCGGCAAGCAGTGGTCAAAACTTCACTCCTCTCCTGTCTGATAATGACATGCGTCAGTCTTACTTATCCAATTGCCACCAGTGCTTGCCTTTCATAGGACCTCTGCTTGACCAATTAAAAACAGAAACGTTTGAACATCTCCTTTGATTCCACCTTCAGCCCCACCCACCAATGCCACCCCTCACTGCCATCATTGTAACAACGATTCGAGGAACTCTTTTCTCGGTTGGCTGTACGATCAGAGCGGCAGGCATTGGTCAATCTAATTTCACACCTCTGGCTTCTGGCTACCCAGGAAAGTTTGCGAAGTGGCTCTCTACTCGAGCACTCTCACGGAAAGTCGTGAGATTTCACACCCGCTCTACACTGACCATCTGCATTACTCAGGGTTCACATGATGGGGTAACATCTACCCCCAAATTGCACCCCTACTCCTCTTCCTCGCTCAGCGGCATGGCCATATCGTTAAGTTAAGAGCTGGCGGAACCAAACTTGCGAGTTTTGTTTCAAATCAGGGCTGAGCGGGCAAAGCATTTTCCGTCTTAGACAGGTGAAACCCTCGGAAGGGAGCGGATTTTTCTTTCCGTTTACGCCTTGGACAGGTTTCCGTTTTATACAGGTAATTAAAGAGGAATATATCAAGGGGGAGCGGGGAGATTCTGTAAAGACAGGTTTCCGTTTTATACAGGTTTCCGTTAAGGCAGGTTCGACTGTAGGTCACAACAAATAGACCAGTTAACAAATATGTCACACACAATGACAAAATATCCACACAGAAACTAATCAGAGTTGCCTACCTCACATCTAGAGCCGGTGACTAGTTTTTTGCACTCACGTTTAGGCGTAGAAAGGCCTGGTCCAGGCTAACTTGGATCCTTGACTCTCAGACTGGTGAAAGGGTTTATTGGGCTAAGCATTGATAAAATTCCAGACCGGTCAGAGGGTTTCTCGGGCTCTAAGGGTTAAGGCTGTCCAGTGGAAAAGATGATCCACTGTCTCATATGCATAGTCACACAAAGGACACATTGAGGGAAGTTCTGGTTTTATTCTGTATAAGTGAAAGTTGAGTTGTATATGTTTTTTCGTAGGCGGAAGATCGTAGTCTGTTTCTTTCTCTGTAGGTGATTGATGTTGACATTTCGTTTTGTTGTGGTCATATATTTGAAAACTGCTCTCTTGTCTTTCCCAAAGCCCATCTGTTCATCCAATCTTGTTTGCTGTTGCTTTTAAGGATTTGTTTTGCAGTGTTGTATGAGGTTTGAGTGTTTGGCTGTTCCTGTCTGGATCCCCTTTTGGTGAGTGTGTCTGCCCTGTCATTCCTAGGTATGTTTGATTATCTGGGAATCCACTGCATTACCAGGTTGATGCCACAGGATGTTATCAGGCGATGGGAGTCAAACAGTATATGTGTCAAGTCTTTGTTTAGATGATGGCTATTTTTCATCGCTTGCAAGTCAGTGAATATGCAGGGGGATGGCTTCTCCATTCGTTAATCTTGTGTTTGCTCCTTATGTTCACAGTGTTATTCAAGTGGACCCTTTCATGCTGAGCTTGTGGAACATCTACTGTAAAGTCAGGGAGTCGGGGATCAAGCAGGTAAAATAATAGATTAACTGAATTCCACTTTTATTGATTTGCCTGGGGAATTTGGTTTACTGGCCTACCTTGGTAAATGAATACCAGTTATATTTATGAGCTGGTGTCTCTAGTTTATTATCCATCTTTGATAGACTGCGCCTGTGGTGAATTTGTTAGGGGCTTCAATGTCTATTCAGAAGAAATAAGTTTGATTTCTGTGTGGGGAGAATTTTTATAGAGTATCTTTGTCTTTCTGCTGGGACTTTGTGTACCTCTCAGCTTGGGTTTGCCCTGACAGGCAGGGTTAATGCAGCCCACATCCTGAGTGATCTAAATAATGTTGATGAAGGTTGCTAAAACTTCAGCAATTAAATTTTATACAACTCTGACAGGAATGGGTCAAATGGGTATAATTCTATTGTTATGTATGCGTGGGTCCACACTTTGGGATGATCTGGGTAGTATTATAAAGCTTCATTTGCTGTCAGTCTGTGAACTTTAAAAGTTTTGTTATTTACTTTACTTTACAGTTGTGTCAATTTTTCAATAATTGTGTATATATTTTCCCACTTAAAAGGGAGGCAGATGTGATATTTTAGCCAGTTTCGGGCTCAGGAATTGACTTGGAAGTATATATTTTCTCTCTGTGGAACATTCTTCTCCTTCCAATTCCCTGTAATTATACGATAAAATATAAAGCCCAGAGCATCGAAGCCAGACTATGAAAGCTCCCTTATCCTTGTTTTTATCGGTCTCCCCACTTTCAAATGCTTTTTTCTCAAAACTGTTGCAGACACTTTCCACGTTCCATTTTCTTAATCGTTTGAATTTGTATTATTTCTAGATATTGACTTCAAACTTTGCATGGGTGCACTTAAATGTAATATGCAATTCACTGACACTTTATTTTTCAGATAAATGCTCATTTTACCTTTATGTGTAGGCTTTTCCTACCTGATCTCTAATACTTTTTGGGTCCTCCAAGTTTTGAGATATATTGTCTTTGAAAAAGTACATAGGTAGATTATGTTTTGTCAGTGAATTGAAGTATTATGTCTGCAAGATGATTCTGCAAAAAAAAGGACTTATCATGTCAAGTGAACAAAATTATTTACAAATTGCATCGCCTGCCATAAAAATGCCAAAAATCCGATATGGCCACCATTACCATACCAATGTGTAGATCTTTTCCAAATGTTGTATTAGAATCTTTATCAACGTAACCCTAGGTATATAAGAATACCTGTTTTAGATGATTTTTTAATATTGAGAAAAGAGGGCTCTCAACGTAGCCTACCTCAGGGGAAATTTATATTTAAATGTCGCTTTCACTCAGGAAAAGGAAAGTCCTTCAGACTTTTCCTGTGAGGTCTATTGGTTTTTTTTAAAAATTACATAGCGTGGTGAAGCATATCCATGTACACCAATGGTTTTAGAATCCACGGGTTTGACCATAGACTCCTGCTCATAAACATTATGCTGTAATGGCTGTAGCTCTTCACTATCTGTGAAAACTTTGCAGTGAAACGTTCACGTCATAGGTGAGCCATTACACCCATATGAAGGGCAAAACATGTCTCATTGTAATTGTGTGAATGTACTTTTCCCTTATTGTCCTTCATTTGGCTCAAATTGAGTCAAACAATGCTCTCTATAGTGAACCGGAAATACATCAATGTACATGGTTTGGGATTTTATAGTACAAGTCCATGGATTTCACAAATAAGATGTGTGCAAGGGAAAAAAATTTCAACTGTTATTGTGTTTTTTGAAGTATAAAAATAAACTTTCAAGAGCTTTCTTGCAAGTTGCTGTGATAGGATGGAATCAGTTGATGCAAGTATACAATGTTTGGGGTATTAAAAAAAAAATAATTTTTATGCAGTTGCGAGCTCCGTAAAACCCTCTACTAAAAACTGAGAAATGTATTGTTTCGTTTTTTTGGGTGTTTTTTAGGGTGCTTTTGTTTATATTTTTAAATATCAGTTTTTACTGTTTTCTATTCTAACATCTGTTCTCAGCCGCTCCATCTAGGCTTGTTCCGAAACGACTTCATGATGAACTGCCTTGATAGTATTTCTCCTGGTCAGATTGTCGGTGCAGACCGGCTTGAGCTCAAGCAGATTGAGTTTAATTCTATTGCTGCAAGTTTTGGGGGACTCACAGGGCAGATTGTAGATTTGCATAGGTAAGGTGAATTAATAGTATAATATCGTTTTTCAGACTGTGTTGTCTTTGCATGCAGCCACTGACACATTTTGATGTCTTATCTCTCTCTCTCTCTTTCTCTCTCTCTCTCTCTCTCTCTCTCCCTCTCTCTGTCTCTCTCTCTCTCTCTCTCTCTCCCTTCCTCCCTCCCTCTCTCTTTCTCCCTCTCTCCCTCCAAATATGCACACCCATACACACAATGACAATGACAATCTTTATTCATCTCACAGGGAAAAATTTGTCTTGGTCGTTTACAATGGCAGTGGATGTTACAAAGGTTAGGTGCACTCATGCATACACACAACTAGACAGGACATTAGTAAACACATGTCTCACATGCTGAAACAACCCTCTCCATAAAACATTCTCTCTCTCTCTCTCTCTCTCTCTCTCTTTGTTTCATTTGTAGCACGGTGTGTTCAGCAACTTCACTGCTGTTGGTACGAATGAATTTCTATATCTGTCTGTTCTTGCTTTTTTGGAAATGCATCGTTTACTGCAACTCAATAATTGGGATTCCAATGTCAGATGGTGGCTATGGTCCCTAAGCATTATTTCCGCCTTTATTAAAATGTTTGCTTTGTGCTGATATTTAAAGTTACTTAGGTCTCTACCAATTGTTCTTGATGCCTTTCTGATCAACTTGTTTATTTTTATGATGTGCTGTCTTCCCAAATTGCTACCATAGCAAGAGATACTAAAAATTATCAAAGTTTCTATTGTGGTGGTGTAGAATATCTGAAGGATGGATGGATTCAAATTGAAGGACCTTAGTTTCCTCAGAAAGTACAGCCTCTGATTTACCTTTTTTAACAATGTTGTTTACGTGATTTTGACATGTAAATTTGTTGTCGATTGTAAGACCAAGATATTTGTATGAATCCGTGGTTTCAACCGTTTCTTGTTCAATTATGAGTGGTGGGATTGTTGGTATTTCTCTTCTATAATAAAAAATCGTTTCTTTTGTTTTTGAGAGGTTCACTTTCAGAAAATTTGAATTGCTCCACATGAGCACATAAATACGCCCATGTTCATCTTTGCACATTCATGTTTGCAATAAACAGAAAATCAATCCTTGTAATTAACTTACTATATTTATGTCCAGTATTTGCGCACAATAGCCAAAGCATGACATTTGAAATTTAATTTAAAAATCAGGGAAATTGTAACCGGCACAAAAATGGTTATGGTGTTAGAATAATTGCAATTGTATGTGTTTTAAGCCCTTTGTAACACTATTCAGATTACTTAGAGAAGGTGTATTGCTTTGACCCTGCCTGTGGGGGCCAATTGGAGTTATTCTCAAGGGGTTATTAATTCACATTTGAAAGGGGAAAAATTTAATGGAAATTTTGAAAATCATTACACTAAAAACGTTTTTGCATACATTTTGAAAAAAAAAGGATTTTTAGGTAAATAATAACAGAAAAATAGTATTGATCATTAAGAGTTTTATAATTTTTTACAGACTGTCTCTTGGAATGGCTGGGAAAGATATTAAACCAGAACAGGTTAGTCCTATACATTTTCTTACAATTGTTTAATAAATTGATGTACTATTCTATTTTTAGTACGCCTACTGGTTTTCTGCTACTGTGTAATTTCATATTCTAGAAAATGTTCTGGAAAATGCTTATATGAATGTACCTTAATTTCATGTTCATTTTTCTGTTTGCTTTTCTTTATCACTCATTTGAAGGGGATTGTTTTTCCTGTTTAGCTTGTTGTAATTTCAGATGTATTCTTTATTGATCAGTGAAAGTTTTTGATTTTTATACAACTTGCTTTGTTGAAACAGATGTTTGAATACCAGGACTGGGCACATGATCTAGTCCAATAACAGTTTTGGTTTGATTTTGCCTTAACCATCACTTGTCTCAAAATAAAGAAAAATAAGTGTTATATTTAATGGTAGAATAAGACGAGTTGTGTTAAATGTAATGGGATTGCAATTTCTCAATGTCGGTAAGTTATGTAAAGATGGTTGAGCAAATAATTTAGATACGGCACTTTAAATTCTTCATGCATGCACTAAGCTTTCTAGATATGCTTTGACCTTTCAGATGTATGAGTAGGGAATAAGAATAAAGAGCACTTCAGAATATAATAATATGCAAAAAACACTGGTTCACTGTATGCTGAATGTGAAGGAAACTTTAGGGGTCTGTTGTGAGTGAAAGTGTTTTGTGACTTTTTTTCAGTGATTTTTAGTTAATTAACTAAATGCAAATGTTAACTTACTTTAAATTGCTTTCCACTGCAGATTCCTGACAACAAGCCTGCTGTAGGACTTGCTGATGGCATGGTTAAAGCATGGGAGCTCTACGGAAGTCCCAGGTACAGAGTCACCAGAGTGACACATTTGATGCCTGCTAGTAGGGGGTTTCACGAAAAAATTTTAAAACGATTGATTTGACCAAAATACATGTCACTAGATAGAGCTAAAGAGGTGAGGAAAAAACAAAACAAAACAGCATGAAGATTGGATAAACGGTTCAAAATTTATGCAAGTTTATTGTTGTGAATTTGGGCATTTTTGGGGGATCATTAATTACTTAATTATAGACAACAGGATGGCACCAAAATGTGCCAAAATGAGGCATGAGAAAGACAACTTAGCAACAGTTTTCCTTAATTCAAAGAAAACGTTGCCTGCAAAACATATGGTAATCTTACATTTCCAGAAAGATTATGTAATGGCCTACATGATAAACACTGTGTTGCGTAATACGCAAAGTCATGTGACTAAATATGGCCACCAAAATGGCCGCCATTGACGAAACCCGCAACAGATTTTGACTTATAAGTGACATATCATTAATGTTTTAAGTCAAAAGTGTACAAAAGTATATATTTTCTTTATCAGCACAACTAGGCACATCTAACGAACTGTAAAAAAAACAACAATAAATCCATTTTATTTTCTAAAAATCATATTTCACCCTGAAAAAATGAATGTAGTTGGGCACGGAAAACAAACACTGAAAACTGAAAATCATGAATAGCTTGTACAAATTGACATTCCCTGACTGATGTCTCTTCAATTTTTCATCACCTTTATCCCTTAACTCGAATTATGGATGTGTCGAAGACGTTTGTCATCCCCCGATGTATTTAAATTATTCATGCCTGACTTTAGTGATTTTGAATCTAATTCCCAAATGCCAACAGTCTTGAGCAAAAGTATACATTCTTTAGATCAGCAAAAAGTGATTCATCCAATGAAAGAGCATACAACCAAAGATCAGATGGATACAAAGGAAGAGAACCGGCGTCTGTTATGTAGCGGATATGAGCTTCGCTTTCATAAGCAGGAGATCTAGTGTTGATTCCCAAGAGGGGAGAAAATTGTTATGTATACTCTTCAAAAAAAGAAACACATAACCAAGTGCTTGTGTTTTTGTGATAATAAAATATGTAAAGATGAGGTTTTGTGCATGCTAGGTTTTTTTCACACATATCTTGAACTTTTCACAACAAAATTCTTTGTTTACTCATAGTCACAGGTTGGCACAGCCTGAACTGTTGAATTGTGTGATAATTGAGTGTTAAAAAGCTCACAACTTGTCTAATTTTGTGAGAAGTCGCACAAAATTTGGCGTGTGAGTTCATTCACGGGGTGGCTTTTTAATGGGGGGAAAAAAGGGGTTTCATCACTTGTCATGCCACGACTAACTATAGAAGAGCGAAACCAGGCTATTGGACATTTGAAAGCTGGAGAAAGTCAAACTGATGTTGCCACACATTTCAACGTGTCACAGTCTACCATCAGCCGACTTTTTGCAAGGTTTCAACAGTCCAACTCCTCTGGCGATCAACCGAGAAGTGGAAGGCCAAGGGCAACAACTGTAGCCCAGGATCGCTTTATTCAGCTTCATCACCTGCGGGATCGTTTTGTGCCTGCCTGTTCAACAGTCCTAGCACTTCGGAATGTCATCAAAATTTCTGACCAGACAGTGCGCTACTGACTCCGAGAAAGAGGGCTCCGCGCATATCGACCTTTAAGGACATTGTTGACGGACCAGCATCGCCAACAGCGACGACAATGGACCACTCAGCACGTCAACTGGAAGCTACAGAACTGGCGGCCCGTATGGTTCAGTGATGAATCCAATTTTCTCATCTCTCGACACGACAGACGACCGAGTTTACCGATGTTGAAATGAGAGGTTCGCAACTGGAAGCATCTCCTAGGCCTTATCGCATGGTGGTGGCAGTGTGATGGTGTGGGGAGCAATCAACCACACTCGCAGGAGCAACCTGGTGAGAGTACAAGGTAATCTGGCAGCCCAGGACTACATCAACAACGTCCTCCTACCACATGCCCTTCAATTGCTTCCACAACCAGGGGCAATCTTCCTCTAGGACTATGCCAGACCGCATACTGCCAGAGTAACTAGAGTCTTTCTGGCTAGGAACAATGTCCAGACACTTCCTTGGCCTTCAAATTCACCGAATATGAACGCAATAGAACACATTTGGGATGTTTTGGACAGACGTCTCCGGAACGGAGTTGTCGCCCCTGCCACTCCTGATGAACTGTTTGCTGCCTTGGATGAAGAGTGGAGGGCAATACCACTCCCCAACATTCGTTGTCTCATCGCTCCCATGCCTAGAAGATGTCAAGTGGTAATCCAGTCAGCACGAGGCCACACCCAGTATGAATGGCCGCCCTTGGACCGACAGATTGGAGCATCCAATTGATTGTTCAAAATCAATTCAATTTTGATGATAATCAATAAACAGCAATGACTAAAATTTCAAAATGCATTTTCTTTCCTTCATTTATATCAACAGTTATTCAGTGCTATATATAAGATTATACATGGTGGCCAATTTGGAACAGTATAGTATCTCTGTCTTTCTACTGTGATGTAGTATCTCTCTCAGCCCAGGTTGGACCAAACAGACAGGAAGGAGGTGTAAAATCACCTACGTTTAATTAACTAAAAAAAAACAACACTCGAAGAAGCAGGGCAGGAAAGGCAGAATAATAGCAATAATAAATCAACAACACAGAGATGTTTTCAAGTGCTGGAGCAGTAGGAGAAGCATTAAACAAAAACAATATAATATACAAGCATACATAACAATCAAGAGAAAGATGTTTGCTTCTCGCCTCGACACCATAAGTATAAAAGGTAACAGAGACTGCAAAAGGTAGGCAAAGTACATAATAAGTAAACTCCCTACGATACCATGCCATATTACCAATTACCAGACCAGCAATGTTCTCAGTCAACAACAAGATTCCATTTTTTCATTTCACAACTGAAGTTCAAAGTAACATGGGCTTCTGAGCCACTGAACTTGGCAGGAGCAACAATCATAATAATATCCTTCTTCTGAGGAGCTCAATACTAATTATTATTTCACCTTGCCTTGCTGCCAAGTGAACTTGTCATCAAGATTTTTCAATTTATTTTTAACTCTGCACCAAATGACTACTGCGTAATGCACACATAGTCTGGGAAAACGCATTTTGACCTGACCCCCCCCCCCCCCACCCGCCCGTCGATCAAGATTTTGTAGTACTTGACCTGCACTTTCTTCAGTCAACCTTTTCCTTCTTGGATTGATATGAATTCACTCTTTTTATCACATTGGAGGAAGACCAAATCCCACCACATTTTTCAATATCCTTTGACTTTGAAAGTTTCATTTTATTTTCAACTTTCTTATATTCAGTATTCAAATATAAAAAAGTATCTTTGGCCGTTAATAATAATATTGGTCACGCTTGTACTAGCAGAACTAGCCATACCTTCAATGGCAGTTGTTTGTTTACATCAGTTACATTAAAAATCGAGAGTTACTTGCCCCTGACTTCTGGCTCTAGGGGCGAATTATTTTTTTACCTTACGAAGTGAACTAGGGTAATGTAGTAAAGTTTGATTTTCTTCTACAAAACTTTAATCATTTTTAACAAAAATGACATTTCTAGAGAGCTAAATGATATATCTATCAATATAATTTGCCCCGGGAGCGTTTTCCATCATTAATAAAAAAGAATTTGGAAAATTCCGCTTGAATAAACTGCCCAAAATGCGTTGCGCTTTAAATTTGTCAAAATTTGCGTGCCATGCGTTGTGGCAGAATGTGTAACGACCCTTGTAGTTTGAACTAAAAAATCTATAATGTTACGCATTTCTCCCCCCATTGAAACTAACATGGAAACAAAAAGCACATATAGACCTCTCATTTCATGTTGGTTTTATGATGCTAGGAAAAGAACTAATAAAGTTATGAGTCGAGAAAGAGGAAAAACCGGGATTTTAGCGGAAATCCCCACTCGACGGGCGAGCGTGAAACCCCCTACTGCTAGTCCATAGTTAGGTAATCTAGTTTAAGTTAGTGTTTTGAATTACTGGACATTGATGCTTTCAGGTCCATAATTATTAAGGTATTTTAGAGAGCATTTTGAACCCAGATAAAGATTTGATGCTTGCAAATTCATAGTTTAGCTAGTGATTCAGTATACATTTTGAACCGGTAAAGAGTAAGACATTTAATTATCATAAGCCCAAGTTTTGTCTCATGCTGAGAATTTTGAATCTTTGTCCGGGACCAGATGATCTGTACTGTGTTGATTTTTTTTGGCACAAGGTTTTCTTTGTTTGAATTCTGAGTGAAAAAATTTGTCAGTGTGATCTTGAAGAGTTTTAAAATGTTATTTTGAGAGTCAGTTTTTAGAAAAAGAACTGAAAAAAATCACCTTTTTTAACCAAATCTTTTCGAGATGAAGAGTATAAACGTATTTTGATTAAGTGTAGATATCTGATAACATTTTTTAGGTTCCTTTCTTTAAATAGATAATTTTTCTGTCTTTATTTGTTCTGGTTGACAACTGGCTATTATGTTACCTGAAGTTGTATTTTTGGTTTGATCTTTAAATTTAGTTTTGTCTTTATTTGTTCTGGTGGACAATTTAAATTAGTCAAATCATAGTTAGTCGAAAAATGACTTTTGTGACAATTTTTACTCAACAGGGCTGTGATCATATTCTTAGTGAGTACCTTGGAGCGAAATGTCATGGATCAAAGATGGCTGGAGTTCAAAGTGTACGACAGAAACCCCAATATCCGTATTCTCCGCAAGACGCTCTTAGACATTAATAATCATGGGCATTTGGATGACCAGAGCAGACTCATCATGTAGGTAGAAATTCTGAAACAGTTTTTTGCTTAAATTTAAACTGCTTTATATTTTATACCCATTGCTTTTTAGTGTTTTTTTGTACTTTTGATAAATGTTTTATTGTTGGCATATTCACTGTTAAATAGCATTTGTTACTTTCCATTGAAAAACTCAAGTCTTTGAAGCACTCAGGCACCCTTTTCAAAATCAGTGTTATTTTCCATCTTTAAATATGTTTGTTTTCATCAATATTATGTGATTATTAAGTTTTGAGTGCTACTTATAATTTTACAGTTGTGGATACTCCCATTTTCAACACATTCTTTTGTTAGATTTTTCTATGTGTGATGATAATTTTTCTGACTTTATTTGTAACAACTATTCAAGGTAACATCATGGTATCTTTTTTTTTATCTTGACGACCAGAGATGGGGATGAAGTAGCATTGATATACATGAGGGATGGATACACTGCAGAAAACTACACTTCTCAAAAGGTAAGACAGGATTTTGTGCTAAATATGTTTTCCTTACTGAATCTATCAGAGCTACCTGCAAGTTATTGTGATTTAACTCTTTCTCTTCTGCTCCCCTCTTTTGAGGGGCGAACCGGAGGTCCCCCTTACCTCTACACTATGCCACTTCATGTGGCGTTCTTACTAATCACTTTTCCCCCATTTTCACTTCTCTTAGTCTTTTCTATGCAGATGTTACATCCACTTCTGTTTCATGTTTGTTTGTCTCTGTGATTAACAATAATTTGAGGGGGTCAACATTCCATTTTGGTCAATATTTGTCCAAGTTGTAATTGTTTTTCATTAACACCCGTTGAGAATCTAAAGATAGGTCACATAGAAGTGTGGAATACATATCTAAACGGAGAGAGTGGAGAAAATGATCAAAGTAAATGTAACCTTGATTTAAGCCTTTTCAGAAGGAATTAATGAATCATATGATTTTTATTTTTAAGTTGTACCATCTGGCTGCCTTGCCTTTATTTTCTTATCTGTAAAGAGTCCTCCTCCTCTTCCTCCTCCTTCTCCTCCTTCTCCTATTCCTCCATCACTTATTCCTCCTCCTTCTTTACCCCTTCTTCCTCTTTCTCTTTCACCTTCTTCTGCTCCTCCTTTGGAATGTAATCAAAGAAGACTGCTTTCGAATCACATCGCAAATGTTCCAAAGCTGTCTGTTTATTTTAAGATGAAAATGTTCTCGGATTTGATAGAGAATGATGCTGTATCGTGTTTCCTTGAAGATTGCAGGGATTATATTCTAGAATCTCTTGTGTGGAGGGAAATTCTGCGATGTATAAGCAGTGAATGATTGGATGGATGGATGGATGCATGCATGGATACATGCATGCCCCACCTGCGGGCCTGCCTGCTTGCATGCCTGCCTGCACTACTATAACCGAATGTTCCCTTTGGAATTTTATTCTCTTTATTATTTATTCACCATCATTCTTGTAGTGTTCCTCAGTCGATACGAAATAATAAAGTTCCTTTTTTTCTATTCTAGGAATGGGATGCAAGGCTGAAATACGAACTGTCTCGTGCCATCAAGTGTCCTTCTGTGCAGTATCAGCTCGTCGGAGCCAAGAAAATCCAACAGGAGCTGGCTCGGCCCGGGGTTTTGGAACGCTTTGTCTCTGACCCACAAGTGGTCAGCACACTGAGGGCTACCTTTGCTGATCAGTATAGTCTGGATCTGGTAAATTTTTCAATGGCCTTTCTATTCTTAGACTTGTTTATAATAATGATAATAATGAATAGCTTTTGTATAACGTGTATTTGTTCATAAAAATGATAATTTTAAAGAACATTTGTATGATGCACATTTGTATATGATAGTGATAATAATAAATAGCATTCGTCTAGTCTATAATTTTTCGCAATAATGATAATAAAATATAGCTTTTGTATGGTGTATATTTGTTTATAATAATGATAGAAATAGATAGTATTTGCATAGCGCATATTTCTGCTCTACGGCAGGTTCTTTTCACTTTGCAATCAATATGGAAGAGTACTGATGTCTTTTGTGTTGTGGTTAGGTTTTTGTAGTTGTGTTTTTTAACATGAGTTCTATTCTGGCATGGGAAAGTTATTTTGTTAAGTATCTCCATCTGCCTGCTTGGATGCTGTATCCCTCTCAGCCTGTGTTGGCTCTGATAGGCAGAGTCAAAGCAGCCTGCCTCTTGAATTATCTAAATTTTGTCAATGGGGGTGTTAAACACTTACCATCATCAGTATGGGAGACTCTTAAAGAACCAATTCGAGACTCTCTAACAAATTCCCTTTGCTGACTATTGAAGTAAAGTTTTAAGAGACTGGGTGGTTGGTAGATGCTCTGATGTGGTTTGCTTTTTCTTTCCTTTAAAAAATGTGTTATCATTATCTCTTCTCCCTTTTTTGTGTTTGTTGCTGTAAGACCTCTAATCTTTGGCTAATATATGACTTAATTTGTGTTGCAAGTGCCATAAAATATTTACTTAAACAAGAAAAGGTTTAGGGGAGAAATAACAAAAGGGACAATTTGTTAGATGAATCTTGTAATCTGGAGTTCTAAAATTGTCAGGTTTTTGTCCGATTTATGCGTGTGAAAAATAGCCTTGATACAAGATGTATTAGACAATTTGAAATATGATCTGTAAATTTTGGGTCCCCGCTTGCGCATTTCCTTTGGATTTTTTTGGTGGCCAGTTGTCGTCCACGAAATGAAAAGTATGGCAACCACATCCATGTGAGCCCAGGTCTCCTGAGCCCATGAGACTCATGCTGTTGACTTTCATAGAGAAGGCTGCTAGATTTACAGCCTTTCATGCATTTGGTGTGCAGAAAGGTAAAGTTAGCACATAGGCAGGCATTGGCTTTTTAGGGTTAATCAAAGATCCTATACTACACAAGTCTGTAGGGTTTATCAAAGATTTTTTTTAATGTAGACGTGTTCACGCCCACATGGACACAGTTTAGATCATGTAGGAGGTTGGCTTCCACCCTGTCTATCAGGGCCAACCATGCTGGGAGAGATACAAAGTTTTTTTTTGGAAAGGTTTGACCATGGTATTTACTGAAACTGAAGTATTTCAGCTTGTCTGTTTTATCTCAATTTTTGCTTTAGACTTACAGAAATAACCCAGTTTCAGACAAATCTAGAATGTTTTAAGCTTTTGAGCCCTACCTCCTGAGTTAAGAAGGGACTTTGGCACATAAACTCCCCTGCATTGACCGCTAAATATACACTGCAACATGTTTAGGTGTGCGTTCGGTGGTCTGAAAGTAATTATGTTCAGGCATGCACCCAGTTCCATTAGATTTTTCTGATACAATATACTCAATACTGCATTCCCTCAAATATTGCGAGGATTACATTAACCCTCGTCCTGCGGGGGCTGGGTTTATGTCGCCTGATAAGCCTATTTCGGCACCTCGCCTTTGTTCTGGTCCCGAATCAGTGTAGCCCCTAGCTCAGCGCATGCGCACCGCGCATCATCTTATGTGACATTCGGGTCCCGAGTCTGATCCCCATTCACGCAGGTCAAGTGTGTGTGCGTCAGTCTGCTTGAGTTTGTGTGCGTTTGTGGCCTTCTTCTGGAACTGCCTGCGTTGGTTCGTAATCGAGGCATACGTCTCGTTCAAAACACACCAAGTTGGTAGCTCTAGATGTTTGTCCAATGAAACAAGACTTCCATTTTTCTATACAAAATCTTTCAAATGAGCTTGATTTTGTATGAAATGATACTACCTGATAAAAAAGAAGCTTGTTTGATAGTTTTGAATACCATTATGCAGGTACAAAGAACAATTTGAGTGCAAAACATTTGGAAATTGACCTATATTATCCCCTTTCGAACCTCAGGTCATTCATAACAACAAGAGCGTCCAGAAAGGTTATTCGAATGGGCGTAACTACTCTTAATGTCTTATCAGCTTGTGAGAGGGGTTTTTTCATGTGTTTGTAACACTTTATAAATAGAAAGCTATGAAAGATAGAGCGTTATTTTCATCATCGATTAACACACTCTCATGGTATTCACTGCGAAAACACACGTTTCCCGGCGGGCGTGCTGTACACCAACAGTACACACTGAATGACCCCGGCGGCCTGCCTGGCACGTCCGACGTAATCGGTTGCTGATAAGATTTGCTTCTGGGCAAAGACGCAGGACAAGAGTTAAAAGAGCTTCACATGATAGGGGAAAATACATAAAGTTGAAATGATATGTTTATTATGTATTTCACACCTTTAACTCTTTGAACCCCATCAGCATCCGGCGGTAATAACCCTGTTCCCCATTGGATGCTGGGAGCGTCCGGTGCTAGTGACAAATGTTTTGTTTTGTTTAGAGCTAGATTTTGCTTGTTTTTCCTTACTATTCCCGCACCCAGTTTTTAGTAATGACTAAGCCTTTGTTTACGCTATAATGACATGCTAAAATTAAATTTTCATAAAGGTGCTCTCTAGTGTATTTATAGAATTCCCCAGTTTTCCTATTTTCAGTCCCAAAAACGTGTTATACCGAATCCGAAAAATGTTAACCACGATATAGCTAGAAAATACTGCATTTCTTTGTACTTTATTAAGAGGAATTTTATCTGGATTGTCTTTTCAGAATCAAGAAGGAGATGCTGCTGTAAAGCTCGCGTTGCAGTCTCCGGCCAAATTTGTATTGAAACCCCAACGCGAAGGTGGAGGTAAGCAGTTCCTTGATTTTCCTTTCTTTTCCTCCTGAACCTGATAGATGAAGAGGGTTTTTCCAGAATTTAGTAGGGGTATTTTTTATGGATTTAGGAATTGCTTAATATACCTCATACTGCTCAAAGATTTGCTTGTATCACCCAGCATATCTTTACAGCAGTACCTACTAGAAATAAAAGAAAAAGAAAGTGGTTTGAAGCTATAAACATACTGTGAACAGATATCTTTAATTTTCTCTCTGAAAAGTAAGCAGAAGGTACTGAATTTTGGGAAACTTGAGTTTCATACCTGTGGAATGTCTTTTGCTAAAATCTGGACTCCTGAATGCAAAATTCCTCAGGTGCCAAAATCGCCAAAGATGAGGAAGTTAAAAACAAGAATGTGATTAAATCATATACTACACTGAATTTTCTAGCTTTTATCAATATATCCAACATGTCAGAAAAATTGAGGATGAACAGCTTGAGTATATTGGTAATAGTACTAATAGTGGTGGTGATGTTAAAAAAAAAGACAGTGGGCCAGACAATGCTATTAAGGCAGTCGTTTTCATTTTTTCTTGTTGGCTTGAGTGTGGCTGACAAATCAAATTCGTGAGGCACACTATTATGGACATGGGGGCGTGTGAGAGAGGTTACTGCTTGTAGAATTTTTGCCAATTTTAAATAAATAAATAAATAAATAAATTACACTTTTATTTGTCCTAGAAGGGCACTTTGTTTTACAGTGGCAAACATACTTACTTAAATACATAATTATAAATATGTACATACATAAATACATACATAAATACACACTATTACACAAATACAAAACAGTTTACAAACAATGCCACTGTCGGTCGCCACTGTGCAGCACCCTGTAATTTGAGCTAGGGTTGTCGTGTCTTGTTCAAGGACACACTCCAGTGACCACCCATCTGATCCCCGTGTCACCGACACTTGCTTGACATTGTTTGATTGAGTTCAAACTCACTACTCACTTAGCCACTGTGCTGTGGTGAGACAGCCATGAAGAGCTGTATTGAGGTTGTTCTGCGCTTTGATGGCATGGGTGCACCAAGAAGTTCTGTCTTCAGATCAATGCGGAAAGTCTTTTGGAGCAATATTACAGATCAGGGAAACCAGGGTCCAGTGGCATGATGATTCATTATAACTGGGGGCTTTTGGGCTACAGATGTCGTAAACCAAATTGGCCATTAATATTGTGTGGAAGGTGATAGAGCTGGCATTTCTGGTGTAATGGTGAGGCTCTTCTTTGTCCCACAGAAAAGACATGAACTTTATTCCTTAGAGAATGAGTAATATTTTTGAATATCTTTGTCTGTCTGCTGGGCTCTGCTGGGATACTGTTGTCCCTCACAGCTCAGGTTGGACCTGGTAGGCAGGGTCAAAGCAGCTTAAAGAGAATTAAGTCTAGTCAATGCAGATGTAAAAATGTTTACAACTGTTACTGGGAAAACCAGGTATATTTTGTATTTTTGCTCTACCTGGCTATGTGTCATTGTGTCTATCCTCAGGTCACAACTTGTACAATGATGACATCACCAATTTCTTCACCGAGCACAATCAATCCAAAGAGCGGAGTGCGTATATTCTCATGCAGAGAATATTCCCATGGCAACAGAAAAACTATCTTGTCAAGCCTGGAGTCCCTTTTGTTTTGTCGGATGTCATCAGTGAACTAGGAGTATATGGAGTATATATTGGGTAAGAATGACAACAGTTTGTTGGTTTTATCCTCACTGTCACATAGCCAGATACATTGTTGCCGACATCTGTGGTGTAATTGTTGTAAGACTTATTGCTGTTGTACTCAGAGGATATCGTTTTGATTCCTAAATGAGAAAGTTATTTTCTTTTGAATACCTCCACCTGTGATTCCTGCACGAAGAAGTTATTTTTATTGAGTACCCCCAACTAAGATTCCTGCATGTGGATATGCCAAGGAGTAATGTGTGTGGCCCTAAAAAGCAGAACACCAGCTCATACCTACTGATAAAAAAAAAACCTTTACTCGGGGGAAAGCCTATAACTCTCCAACAAAGTGCACTATTCTCCCAAAAACTGCATATCGGCGAATGACAAAAATAGTCAAACTAACAAAGGAAAAAATCTTTTTAAAATAAATATATTTTTTTATATAGAAAAAAGGCAAGCGTAGTTTTATTTGATATTCCATGGTGAACTTAACCTCCAAATTTTGAAATGGTTTATGAGTTATTAGATTAGCCCATATGTGTCACGATGTGGTGGAATCAGGCATTCATCAATTTTTGGGCATATGGAGTTATTGGTATTCTCTGAAAACTTGTTCATTAGTCTTGCATTTGGTGAAAAAAATTATCACTCTATCTTCTTCAGAAGTCGAGATATTTTGGATTCAAGGAGGTGGGGATCATTTGGTTTCAGAGATAAAATTAGAGAGAAAATGGCTGCCAAAGTTTGGTGACTTCTGAAGCTTGAGAGTCCTTGGAAACTGTAAATTTACATTTTTTGTGCCTTTAATCTACGTTGTTCACTAAAAGTCAAACAACAACGTGTTTTTTAACGGACATGAAAGGTATTGAGCCAAAAAACAACAAAAACTCCATAAATTTTGCAGAACCGGAAGAAAAATGCTGTTTTCTTTGATTTCATTAATTTGACGAGCGCATGATTTCACCATAATGCCTCACATACTGAAATCTGCATTTTGAGAAAACTAGCAAAAACATCTCGAAATTGCTTTTAAACGTTGCATTGGCTCGCAATGATACAAATTTTATGGAGCTATCTCTTTAATGTAGGACTTCCATTTGATGTAGCAAATAATTTCCAAAGTAAGTTTCCTATAATCCCAAAAATGTTGTCATGACTCCAAACTGGATCCCAAAAAATCTGTGTGTGGTCATAACTGACCTGCAGTGTTGAAAGGGGGTGTTGAACCTGTACCTTATGAAGGATTTCCTTTGCCGTTCCACAGATCTGCTGACTCTGAGGTCGTGAACTATGAATGTGGTCATATGATGAGGACCAAGATTCAGGGCACGGATGAGGGAGGCATTGTGGCAGGCTTCGCCGTTTTGGACACCCCTCTAGTCATCTAGATAATTGTTTATCTTGAAAATTGTTCTTCTAGAAAAATTGTCTACAAATGTAAATGTTTACAGAACAGAAGTTCTTTGTTTTGACAGTCTGTCTGTGTCTTGCAAAATACTTTTAGCTTGATCTGAAATTATTTTTATATCTGTTGCCAAACATGTTTGTGATACAATTTATTATACATTGAGTGATAGTAATTGTGTGGGAATTTCAGAGAAATAGATAGTCTGTGTTCTTTTTGCCTTTGTCTTTTTTTGTCTCAAGATTGCTCTCAATAAATTTGATAGATGGTAGCATGTTGGTGAGTATTTGTAGGGGGAAGTAGCTCTTGATTATGAAGTGCCAGATCTGAAACAGACATTGGTGATCATGGTTTGCCACTCATTTCTGTGCTTGGGCGCTCTTAAAAAAACAGATTTTTCCTATTCTTTCCCCCATCACCCCTCTGCTCTAGTGTTTAGAGTAAATTGTTCTTGATCTACCGCTGTCAGTGTTTGGGAATTGTATTTTACTTTGTATTGACCTCTTTTCCACTGTTGACTATGGTGGGATTGTTAGACTCTTTGCTGTTGCGTGTAAAAGAGATGAGTTTGGTTGCCATATATGAGGGAAAGTTTTTTCTGTTTATTAAGTTGAGTGTTTTGAAAATGATCCATGGGCATGTTGTGAATGTACAGAAATATGTGTGGACGTCTGGAGCTTTGAGTGTGTTTTTGTATGGATGATTTTGTGGACAAGTACAAAGAGATGTGTATGTACCGCAACACCTTGAAGTTTTCAGGGGCTTATGTTCCAGAACCTTCCACAATAGGAGGAAATCAAGAAGTAGAAATTATATATTTATGAAGTATTTTACATCTTCTTTAACCCTCCCCATTCTCTGATCCTCTCCCAAACTCTTATAAACACTTTTTACACTAGGAATATGAGGGACAAATGGCATTTCAAAGACAAAACATAAGTGTATAATTGGTAATAATCTTAACCAAAATTAAAAGTTATTGGATGCGTCTCGTCCAAGACTGTGTCAGTAGCGCTTCACTGATTTTCCTATTTCCAACTAGAACAAACTGTTTTGTAAGGATTCCACAAAGCATGACACATTAGTACATTTATATATGGGCTCTTCTTTTATGTGCATATGTGCTCACATACATGAGACAGTGGCAAAAAAACATGCCCTGATACTCAAATAGACCCCAAAATATGGAAACATGATCAAAAGTTTCATAATAGGGTTTCTTGACTAGTGAACAAATGTGTATTCAGAATTTTTTAGCTGATGATAGCTGCCAAAGTAATTTTCTTTCGTGTTTTTACTTAAAGCTACTAACCATAATAACTTAATATGTGGTGGGTGGTTAGAGGGAGCCAGCGGTAGATCCTATTTTTTTCACCCTCCCTCGGTGCTGTTGTTTCTGTCTGTTTGTCTTGCTCCCCCCCCCCCCCCTTCCCCCAGTCAAACATTTGCTTACTTGCTCTGATCTACCGCTGCGGCTGCAAGCCCCCCCCCCACTTCCCCCATACTTACTTACTCACTCACTGTACCATCAGGTACACAAGGCAGAGAGCTGTTGACGCAAGGCTTGTCTGTACTGGGCCAATTTGTCTAGCTTTAACACATCATGGCACTGGGTGATTGCTTCATCCCTGATCATACTCCTATATATGATCAGACTATCTTGTCCGTGGAATACTTGAAACAAGTCCCAAATATCACCTTTTTTTATGGCTGTGTTCTAGTCTTTACTTAAACTATACAGTGGAACTCAGATTCAACGAGGTCGCCGAGCCTGACCTAAAATCTCGTTGAATCTGAGTGTTCGTTATAGCAAACATGATGTTTTGTGTAGATAATTACAGGCACTAAGCAAGTAATGTACATGTATAAAGAGAAGTCGTAAGTAGCGCCTGAAATGCCTGCATATTATGAGCTGTGTAAAAAAAGACCCGATTCGTTCAAATGCACACGCCTGAGTCATCTCGATTGTTTACCAAAAAGTTGTGTTGCTGTGTAGAGCCTAGCATACGGCAACTTTTGATTCCATAGACTAGCGCACAATTCATTATGTAGATCTACGTCAAGATTAGCTTATCATCGTAATAGTGATCTCTTGCTGAGGGGGAAAAAAAGACTGTGACGCATTTGTATCTGTGACGTTCAACGCCCGGACCGCTAGCTAGTGCCCCTCCCCTGAAACGCCCACACAGCCACACGTGTGCAGGCTGCCCATCTGACCCCGACACACACCAGAGTAGACACGTGCACGTGTCAACAACGCATGCGTTGGTATGAAAAAAGGCCGCTGATTGGTCGCATGCAATCGGCTAAGTGAATAATGGTTCACGATCTAGGCTTTCTCAGTTCCTTCACGATGCATGTGCAAAGGATGGTTTCCGGGGATAGATAAAGTTCGTTCTGGGAGAAAAATGAGCGAAGCCACGTATGCGGGGGCTGTTCACCCTGGAAGCGACCTCGTTGAATCCGAGCTCGCTGATTTAATTGCTCGTTGAATCCGTGTTATTTTTATTGATTTTAAAGAAGAAAAAAAGACAGGGAATCTATCTCCTCTCGTTGAATCCGAGTTCTCGTTGAATCCGAGTTCCACTGTAGCTATCTTAAGAGTTTTTCATCTGCAATACAGCCGTGTTATCCTATTGTCTGTGTTGTTTTAATTGCTCTCTTTACCTGATGCAAGTCTATCCTAGTTGGAAAAGCAATATATTATAAGGAATGCCTATTATACCAATTTTCAATACCCTATTACAACTACTTACTTTTATCTTTGAAATATAGTAATTCGTGTTCACCTTCATTTATGTTCCCTACCTCCTTTTATATGATCTACAATATGTTGGGGATGGGGGAAATATGAAACATTTCCAGTCAGTTGTATAGGGTATATAGGATGCATAATATTCAGATTTTTCTTTGTTGATAGTTTATTACTCATGCACTGGTTACTTTGGTTACTGCTTGCCGTTTTGGAGATTTATTTTTACAGTTGCATCTGTCCATAACGGTCAGTAAGATCACAGAGAAAAGTGACCGTTATAGACAGAGGGCCACTGTGGACAGGGTCTGAGTCATGGTCCCTTACCACTACTAGACTTGACAAAGTAAACAGATGGTTTAAAATTTGTAATTGTATCCTTCCCTTTCTTTTCCATTGGAATTGTGATGGATCATAAGAGCTTCTTTGCATTGATTGAATGTATATACTCAGTCTGATCCAGACTGGAAAACCTATGTAGTAAGTGACTGCTATGAGCGGTGTTAAGGCTGACTTGTAAAAACGGCTGATCATGGTCGTGTTTGAGAGAGATAGGTTTAAAAATAGAGGAAAAATGCAAAGGTATCAAGGAACAATGGCCACAAGTGTACGTGACGGCTGTCGAGAGTGACAGCAAAGGCAGGTACGACTGTACATTAACCCTTCCAGCCCCAGCCATTTTTGTGCACTCCCTTTCCCCAGTACCAGCCAATACAGCGGTATTTCAAAGAATGGCATGCATTCTAAAAAGTAATGTAGTATCTTTGTAATGAGGTTTAGGTAATAACATAGAACAATGTTCAAAGGTAAATGAACAAATATTATGAAAATAAGAGTCTTAATTAGGTTCGCTAACTTAGAAAAATGCGCAAATTTGGTACCCCCCAAAACTGAGAATATACGCTCTTGGGATGGTGGGAGGTACAAGCTCTGCTGAAAATATACGCGCATGGGGCTGGAAGGGTTAAAATTTGTTTTGCTGAATATGATGATGAATAAAATGCTGAAACAGGAGTTTAAAGTTCAAGATGACATTTGCTTAATTTTTTGAGTGGGAAAGTCTGGAATGCTGACTTGCTATGTCACTCTTTGAAAATTATTTCTCCTTTGTCAATATTTACTTTTCGGTTATGTATTTCCGTTACGCAATAATGTATACTGTTAGCTCAGTTGGTATCATGCTGGGCTATGGTGCAAACGACTGTGGTTTGAATCCACAGTGGAGCATTCTTGAGCTGTTTAGGGTGTTTTCAAGATTCCTCGCCTACTTTGCTGGGTCTTTCCAGAAATGAGTGTTACATTCAGAGGGTTCAACCCCTACAGTAATCACAACAATATTAAAAGGTGTGTAAAGCCCCGCGCTATATATGCATGCAGTCAATGAATTGTGAACTATGTCATTTTATAAGTTTCTGTCAAATTTGAGAATTTCACATGGTTTGCCACTCATTACTCTGCGTGGGTGCTCTAAAAAAATCATTATTGTCCTGGTCTTTTCTCATCACCCATCTGTTCGAGTTGGTCTTGGTCCATGAGTTCCTCTTTTGCCTTCTATTTTTCCAGTGAGAGTTAAATGTGAAGCGTGCTGACAAGAATGAGTTACTTCTCGGCGGATTCAAGCCATAAGGAAATAGATACATCCTGCTTATAGTGTAGGTGAAGTTTTTACAATTTATAAGTATGAAATAATGAAAGACAGGCTATTGTGAAAAAATATGACATCAATGGAAAATCTACAAATTTGACCGTAATGTCGATTTCTGGCCAATATCTCCATTTGTGGATTGCGAGAAGTAACTCATTCTGTCAGCATGCCTCACAATGTTCAAGGCCTGTAAGTCTATTGAAGTGTCCCAGTAACTGCATTTGTCTCGTACTCAAAGTTTTTATCAATGAGCGGCCCACTTATGCTTTTTTCAGCTCTACCGTATTAGGTTTCTTTTTCCCTTCATGAAATTCTTGTCTCCAAGAAAAACACATTTCTGACGTTTCGAGTTTATTTTCATTGTCTTTGGTAATTGTATTGCACTCACAGCTTGGAGGGTTGACCACACCTAGCCCTTTAAAGGTTGTCATCGAGATGTTTCTGGTTTTCTTTTCTTGTGAGTGTCAGTGGAAAAAAATGGCTGGGAAGAGATTTGTTGAATCTGCAGTTTGTACCTGTGATCAGAAGGAAATGAGACTAGTGTGTGTGTGTGTAGGGGGGGGGGGGGGGGGTGTCACTGAATAAACTCTTGGAAAAGTGTCTTCATTTTTATACTTATACCTTACTAGCTGGGCCCCCTTTCGATGAAAGGAATGATCGGTGCATTAACATCAACTGAAAGTCGTTGGCCTACTATATTAACTCTGGAATAGAGCAATAAATCTTGAGAGAAAAGTGACACATGTGTTTCCAAGTTGCCAAATATATAATAAATGTAGATCTATAGATTAATTCTCTATTTTGTTTTCATGGTTGTACACTCCATCATTTCAAAGATGTGGAATCAGTCCGCACGGCAAGTGAACGGAAACCTCACTTGTTTACAATGGCGTCTTAGAAGATGGACTTTCCCAAGATTAGATCTAAACTAAACCAATGAAAAACTGGAAATCAAACTACAGTGACTTCAAGCTCCTCAATGAAACTGCACCGTTTAAATCATTCTGAACCACCATTAGTTTGGTCAAATTGGAAAGTTAATTGGTTCGGAAGTTTTAGGCAGCCAAAGTGACGCACTTTCACGAATATATATAGAGATTAGTATTGTTCAGATGGTATTTTTAAGGATTTTCTTTCTTCCAATATCTTTTGGGTTTATTTGTTGTTGTTTTTTCACCAATATCAGGCATATAGTTTGATTCATCTCATAATCCAGCTTTCTAATGTGCCTTTCTTGATGTGATAATATTTCAAATTCTGCTCTATACGAGTGCTTGCAAATTAATTTTTTAAACGATATTTTTTTCCTTTTTCTTATGTATGTGTATGCTACAATTCTTTTTCAAAAATATCATACTGAATCCAAGTAAATTTACAGAGTCTTGTATTTCTAGTCCTGTGAAAAAGCACAAAGCTGCTATATTCTTCTGATCTCACAGCTTTAAAGTAAGACAACCTCAAAATTAAAAAAAGAGCATCTGTGGTGTAATGGTTAGATGATCCTGTGATGAAAATCAAAGTGATTATAAGTGAGGTCGCTTAAACGGAAATCTAGGGAACTGCCGGATTTTCTTTAGTTGAGCTGGATTTTCATTTTGAATAGGTTGCCCAAACAGAAAAAATAAAAAATGAGGGATTATATTTTCTTTCTGTTTACCGCTGTTTTCGGATTAACCATGTTCAGCTTAAAGTGGACTCCATTGTGTGTGTATATATATACATGTATGTGTGGCCCAAAAAGGGGTGCAATTTCGGGCATGTGTCAATTTTTTTGTATAATCTTGGGGCTTGATTATTCGTCTTAATTTTGATGAAAAAAGCCCACCCATCTACCTTAAAATACTTAAATAGAAGTGGAGATATTTGCGACTGAAGGAGGTAGGGGGATCACAGTAGTAAAATTAGCAAGGAAACAGCTGCCAACGTTTGGTGACTTTCACTTTCAAGGATTCAGTGTCCTTGGAAACTTGAGGCTTCGGTGACCTAGTGGGTAGGCTCTCAGACTCGCAACTGTAAAGTCATGGGTTCGATTCCTGTCAGGGGCCTGATGTTGTGTTCTTGGGAAAGGCAGTACACAAATTTTCCTCACTTCACCCAGGTGAGAATGAGTACCCAGCTATAGACTGAGATCTTGCAGTTTGTTAGTGTTTGAGCGTTTAATCAGCTGCTTGCACTCTTTTCCGGAAGCTGAGTTAATGTTTCTGACTGTTCAGTGGTCTGCTGGGGTAATAATATAGTGTAAAGCGCACAGAGCTTGCTGTCGAGCGGGGGTAGGCGCTATACAAATGCGATTTATTATTTATTATTAAACTATAAATGTACCTTTATTTGTGCCGGTGAAATCCCCTTTAAAATGTTTCGTTAAATGGACCTAAAGTATAGTATACATTATACACACCCAATAATACCCTGATGACATAAACTTTGTGGGACCAGAGAATTTTGTCACGTTATAAGAAGAATGCTGTCCTTAGAATAATGAGGATGTAAAAAACCTTGGGGATTTGAAATATTTCTTGATGTCAGGAATATTCTGTTAAATTTCTTCTTGTTAAAAAGAATACTGTACGTATTAATTTTGATCTCTCAATTTGATGCACAATGAACTTGAACTTTGTCAACCATAACATTACCATTATTTCCTCTTTTTCCACAAATATGAACCTTGTTAAACATCGTAGTACATGAACTGTCATGTGCTGTTTTTCTATGAAATGAATGAAAGCAGCTGGAACTAGAATCCTTATTCTATGACAAGGGAAAATGGGAAAAATCATTTTTGCTCAAACTCAAATGACTAAGATCTGTTCGTTCCAAGGCTTTTTTAATGCTAATATTTTTATTTCTAATCACATAAATTTGCTATTTGGGTTTCTTGGCCTGCACTTCCTTTTGAAATTATTTGAACATTTTATTTCAGTGTTGTTTTGTTGCGATGATTAGTTCTTGCTAAAACAAAAACTTTTCGCAGACATTTTAATTTGTTTGTTTTTAGCTTGGTTGCATATTGTCGCTGTCATGAGAAAATTTAAATCTCCATTTGACTTTTCTCTGCAAGATGAGAAAAACAGATACATGTATAGAGATGCAGTTTGGACTTCTCTGTTGACATCCACCCTTTAGCACTCATATGACATTATGCAGTTGCGAGCGCCGTAAAACCTTACTAAAACTAAGATACAGAGATTTTCATTTTTTCGGTGACAGCAACGATATATGTTCTAATTACTATGTAATTCAGCAGTATTATACCAAACCTGTTGCAGGTTAATGCTGTTATGTATTTTTTTGCTTCAGAAAATAAAAAAAACCCAAAGTTTCAGAGCTCCAACATTCTTACTTCAAGAGTTTATGCTGCCTTATTGCTTCTGTTTTTGCTTTGTTAGTGGAAGTGGAAAGAAACTTACCTCTTCATGTGGGGGGTTGGCGGATGCTCTGGTGTGGTTTGTTCCTTCTTTCCTATCAAATATCTATCGTCCCTATTTCTCCTACTTCTTTGTTGTATCAGTTCCTTTCTTGTAACATGTGATAAAATACTGACTAAAACTATCTTCACTGCTGTGGAGGAGTATGTAATCACTTGCGATCACCCAAACTGGTTCTCTGCCATTTTTCTATTGGCTTATTGTGAACGTTCTAGAAGATTTATCTGCAACTTATGTAGTTGCTTATTCTTAATAGTTAATAAGGGGAAATGTATTACGGCTTCGTTCAAATCTCACTGAAATGTAAATTTTATGTTGTCTTTCCAAACGTAGATGGTTAAATGACTCGGCACTAACAGGGTTAAGTATTTCTATTTTGTTTGGGTCTGTCACTGTCTTTTTTTTTTTTAAGATGTCTTTTTTCCCCCCACCAGAGCTGTGGTGTTACTTTTAAACTCTTTGCCTTGACTCGAGGAAGATATGACTTCAATTTTCACATGAGGAATTACAGTATTCCCTCGAATATCAGCCCCGCCCACGATTTGGAAAAATGAAAAATTGCCAAGTTGAAAAGATTTTATTTTTTATTTTACCCGTTTACAAACCCTACCCAACTCTTGTAAACCGCTTCCAAGCTCTTTTTAAACACTTTCTACTCTTAAAGTAAGGAGACCAATAAATGTATTTTAAAAATAAGACATTTGAAGTACTGAACAGCATGCACCACATCGTCGTTTCTTGGCCAAGAGTGTGTCTATAGAGCTTCCCTGGTTTTCCCATTTTGGCGAAATGTGAATATTATTACATTTTATCGGGAGTCCCTGTCTATTTGTTGGTATGCTGTATCACATTCAGTCAGCTTGCCTCCTAAATGATTCATATTGTGTCAGTGGGAACTTAACATTTAGAATAAAAAAAGATGAATGCTGAATGTACATGTATCAATATGAGCAAATGTAGCAAGCATTTAGAGAACCTGACCACACAAAGCTGTAAAAGCTGTCACGCATGTCAAAGTATGAAAACAAAATAATAGTTCAAAGTTCATGAGATAGGTGAGAGATAAATGACCTTGACAAAAATATTTTTTTAAAATTGTATTTATTTTTCCTAAAACATTTAAATATATTGCTCTAAACTTTGATTAAACAATAAAATAACTGTCATGGTATAAGATCAAAGGTGTGTGTGTACCTCAGTTTGCAATATATTTCTGTGTCTCTTATTATGTGATTGTGTGTGTGTGTGTGCGTGTGTGTATGTGTTTGGTTGAGCAAGTGAGTCTTCAACTGAGAAGAAACCACATAAAATAACGCATAGTTTCACTGTGCTGAAACCATTTATTTTCCATCAATCTGAAGTCAAAGTAAAATAAACACTTTAAGAGACTCTAAGCCAATTGCGTAAGGGAACAAATAAAAAAAATCTCAAGCCACTGCACTCTAAAAATTGTTTTTTTTCTCAGGATCACCAGTTGGCAACTCAGCATATTGCAACTACAGAAAACTGTGGTTAAGCTGACGTCAAGATGGGTGGTTGGTGGGTGATCTGGTGTGGTTTCCTACTTCTTTTTTATCAAACAGCTATCATACTTATCCCTCTTCCTTCTTTTCTTTGTTTGTTACTCTCTGGTAACACCTCTAATTTTCAGCACTTATATGATCTATTTGTGTTGCAAGTGCCATAAAACACTGAAGCTGATAAAAAACTCAAAATCAAAGAGGACACGGAACAATTAACCAATAACATAAAGTTATTCTACGGCTATATTTCTATCAGTTTTTTGTCTTCTGTTTTGTGTGTGAGCTCAAGAGACATAATAAAGGCACTATTTATTCAAAAATCGTCTTATCAGAGTCCACATACAGCAAATTCCTTTGTATACGCAGACCAAAGTGAAAATGTTTTACATGATAGTAATATAATATAATAAGCATTCACATACCTCATTTCCAGTGGAAAGTGTTCAAACAAGCTCAATAAATCCAACCATTGTAACCTCTTATCCCTGCTGATGCCAACACTTTGACCCTGTGAGGTTTTTAAAAAAAATAGTTTCTAAAAGAGAAAGTATAATTGAAAAACTGGTGTTTGTATTGATTTAAAACTGTTAAGAGGAAATGCAATGGAGAGATACACTTTCTAAAAATGAATCCCATAAAAGATAAGTAAAAAAGACTGAATCTGTTCAGAGTTTCTAAACTAAGTGGGGCATGATTCAAGGGGACGTTACAAATTCGGTGAACTCTCCACAATCTTAGTCTGAGAACTTTGTGATTACATTTAATAGGTAAAGAAGATGAGTAAATGATTATCTCTGCCCCCTGCCCACCCCTTCCTTCGCTCTCTCATTTTCTCTCGACTTAATGGTCTCACTCAGAATGTTCAATTAAGTATTTGCTATGTTGCAGTACACTTGCTGTGATAGATCAAAGACACCAGTCGCAAACAAATATATACAATAAAACTATAGTATTCTCTAAACTTAGTGGACAAAAAAAATGAATTTAAAAAAAAGGAATGTGAATGATATTCTACGTATGTACAAAATACAAAGTTGTGTCCGACTTTAACCATGTGCCTGCCAAATTAGGCTAAACACTTTGTCTCAATTATATTATTCACGACTATATTTACATTTGGTTATACAACAATATGTAAAAAGAATATTTTTTCTCACAAAATTTTGAGCATGTCTGGTAGACAATACTTTTTTCAGCTTTTCTGAAAATCAACGTTTACATATACATGGTAAGAGTAAGTCATTGATGACAAGATTTTTTTTAAAGATATCAAAAAAAATTTTCTTCTATAAAACTTAATAACAAATTGTATTATTCAAAAAGAATATATGATTCAATTACAAAGAAAAAGAATTTGTAAAATTGAGCTCCATGTAAAACGGTGGTACATAGTGTACCTTCGATTTTGGATTTTAAATTATATTCTTTTGGCGATCAATATCAGAGTAAATACAACGTCTCATGTGCCACTTTATTTCATTAAGAATAACAAAGTACATCAATGCAACAATGCTACAGTAACTTATGGACCTCGAATAAGAGTACCCAGCTGGTTGTACAAAAATAGGGCTGACATTAATATGAACAGTGATATGGTACATCTTTATCATCACATTAGTCATAAGAAACAATTCCAGTATCATTGATCCCTAATTTTTTCTGAAGTGACAAGGCTGTCTTCTTGAAATCATTCTCCATGTCTTTCATAGCTTGTTCATCATTTGCAAACTCGTCGATGAAAGCTGGTCTTCGAACAGAAGCAGATTTTACACGGACTGCCATTGGAGGTTTGGAGTGAAGATTCTCAAAATCTGCACCTTCACTGTCAAATCCATCGTGATCGTAGTTAGGCCCATCGTCATGCGGGGAATAACGCCCACCGTTTTTGTGTGGGCTGTCTTGTCCTCTCTGTGGCGAAGAACTGTCCTCACTATCCTGCCCCGCCTGCCCTTGCCACCCACTGCTGGCATGGATGACGTCCGTTTGTGAGATCAGGACTGGCCTCTTGTCAATCTGCACTCTCTTCACAGGGACTCCATCTGAGTTTCTTCTTTGCTTGGCTGATCTTGGTTTGCTGCTGACAGGTCGTGTAGTTTCGTATTTCAGAGGTCGTTCATTCCTCTGAGTGATGAAAGCTGGAAGGACATGTAAAAGAAAATGAACATTTATAAAAACAAAGTGAAGAGGCGAAAAACTTTTAATCATGAATACAAGACTTTCATTCATTTTAGTTCAAGGATAAGCAAAATAGGGAAAAGAGTAGGTCTAGTTTCTTGTATATCATATCGGATGTAAGAAGTGTTAGTGTTTCACTAAACCATTCGATATTGCAATTCACATCTAGTTTCTTTTAAGAAGGTGAATGGGTGGAGGGCGCCACAGATAGGTAGGCCCCTTATAATTTTCTATACTATAAAGCTTGTCATATTTGTATAGGTACCAGAAACTAAATTTTCAAACTAGCTGTATGCCAAATTTATCTGTTCCTTATGAAAGGCCTGTATCTCCTGAGAATTTTGATACCATTCTTTAACCTCTCAGTAAATTTTAAAGAAAATAGTAGCTGTTTTAAATATGATCAAATTTGGTTAAGTCGCTAATTGGCAGCAACCCCATGTTTGACAGAAGTAATAAAAGAGTAGGCCTACCAAGTACACCAAACATGCCCACATTAACAAAGTACAATCACTATAACATAGATGGAGCCTAATTTTTTTCAAGACTGTGAGATAATTGCAAATCAGCATTTTATCACCCAAACACGATGATCTGTTGTTATTTTGACAAAAACACCTAGCCGGCCCCCGCCACGAATGAGTCGGCTGTATACTGTAGTGTACTGAATGCTCCCCGCGGGGGGGTCACATGTTTTTCGAGTTTCATGGAAGGATTGATGCAAAATTACTCCAAGCCTATTACTTTATTCTAATAGAAAATGAACTGATCTTTCTATCGGTACTTTTTTTGAGCTGGTATATTACATATTTCGTGTAAGAAATGATCTTTGAAAACTTTGACGGTATAAAATTTTTTAAGGCTTTCTATTTAAACGCCAAAGGTAAAAAATATGTCAGGGGAAAGCCTTTTCAAAGCTCTATTGTTCTCCGCAAATGAAGAGATGGTATTTAATCATCAATATTTCCGCAAAGCATTTGAATGCATGTGTGTCAATTTTTTAACCGACTGACCACGAGGGGCTTCGCTTTCCACGGCAATTCTCCAGCTCCTAATAATCGGACATACAAACAACTTACTGAACTTTTACAAGGTGTAGAGTATTTGGTGTTTTATAGCGAAAGAGCAAAGAAACAGCAATCTGAATTACCCCCATTTCACTGAAACCATGAGCTCGGAAGGCCGTGAGTGTCCGCGAGGCTGTGTTTACGCTACCTAGTGTGTGCCCACCTGTTTCCTTTATTTCGTATACAGAATGGCCCCCCGGGGCAGTGTCACTGACTGTAGTGTCTTTAGGCCATTCCCAAGGGGGGGACATTTCTCGTTCAAGCACAGTAGAATTGTAAATGGGCTGACTCATGTCACGCTCATAACTGTGCCTGATCTACAACAGGGAATTGCTGCTTTTTCTTTCCTGATCCTTACTGTTGTCATTTTCCTCTACTTCTTTTGTATGTTTGTCACTCTCTTGTGACCTGTTATTTCCGGGGTGCCTTGATAGTCGAAGCCGACCTTTGCTGTTGAATCTAGAGAGGTGAGCAGTCTTAAGTCTGATTCCCTGTAAAGACTTCTCTGTCGGCACCCACCCCTTGGCGCTCATATGACCTTATGCAGTTGCGAGAGCTGAAAAACCCTCTACTATAAAAAAAATCCAACAGAATGGCCATAATTGTGCTGATGTGCTTCTCTTTATGTAAAAAAAACCCTGAATCCATTACGATAAATTGAACTTATTATAAATATTTCCTTAATACTATGCGCGCTTGTGTACGTGTATGAGTGTGTGAGCGTGTGTGTGTGTGTGTGTGCGTGCGCGCACGCGCCTGCACTAGGAGGCTCATGTGTGTCTGCCAGCATTCCATCAACTAGGCTTTGAGTGTGTGATGCAACAAATTCCATTCAATTCTCTGACCTGGTTGACCGTTGGGTTTTGCTCTGTTCCCGCTGCGTGGCCTTGACCTGATATTGTCCCCATCACGCAAACTCGATGCGCTCACAGGACGTGGCTTCTTAACGGGATCACTCTCGCCTAAGCCAAACAAGTTGTTCTGAGAATTGATAACAACAAGGTCATGAACTAGATTACGAAAATTTTACTCTAGAAAATTGATAGGGTTGTTGTAGAAAACACAGGGAAAAATTTCACCAAAATAACTTTATCTGGTAAAGAGACTGACATTAGCTTTGGATAAAGGAATAAAAGAGCTATATCAATTTGCTACATGCATGTATACACTTAAAACAGACAAAACTATGAGTAATTTCTGCTTTACATAGCTTATAAATTTGAAATTTGTAGACCAAATTATTTCAGTAGTAACATCGCAGAATGCCAGCAAATTAGAAACGACTTAAGAGTACTTATCTAGAAATGCAAAAAAGTACAAGTCTATGATAAATCAAACAGAAAAGTAACATATATATTTAATCAGGAAACTATGCTACAGATCTGTAAGTAACCATGCAACTTCATGGATTGTTGAGGGTACATCACAAAGACTACTGCACAAAATGTCAAAAGACTGAAAAACTGTAAGCCGAACATATCTTGATTGGTGTTCACTAGATGA